ATGATAATATTGCGTTCTTTATGCACAAAGTTCGCAAGGATGTAGAGAAATAGGTATTATTATGAACTCCATCATATTAGTAAGAGGTAGTTTAGATCAATCAAGAAACTTTTAAAAGTATAAGCAAGGTATAATATTGTAACAGTCTGATGTAGGTACATAGCAATTTTGAATTTGAATATAAACTTAATTAAATTCTTCAAATAATCTCATTGTTGAATTACAATGTTACTCTATAGAGGTGTCGATGTTTTTCTCCTTAAGAATCCTTTTTCAATAAAGAATTTAAATAATACTTTCTTAGATTTACGCGAATGTTTGACATTATTAAATAAAACTATCTTTTCGGATTATTTCGCGGATTTATTTTGATTTTTGGTTCCCGACGTTTCGAATGCTTTACAGCATCCATGGTCACGGGAGAGACTGAGGTGTTACATGTCTTAAAGATATAGTTGTTACAGACAGCCTACCCACAATCAACAAATGAAAATTGCACCAATTACATTACAATATTTTAACTTTAAACATTTTTATAATTTTAATTATAATTGAATATGGAAAATTATTTATTTAATTTTTGCTATTATTTTTATAATTATTACAATTTTAAAAATATTAATTAGTAATCTATATTTAGTGTTGCCATTATTATATTTATAACCATAAAGAAAAATATAAAATATAGTATTAATTATTTAAGCCATATAATTGTTCAATGTGTAATTTAAAAAGTTAAAATTAATTAAGGATTATAATTTTAATTTAGTTTGCTATTATTTAAAAACAACTTACTAAGCAACACTATTAATATATACTTTTACAAATGAAAAATGAAAAATATCAATCTGATAAGCTGTCATTTTGATCTACACAGTATGAACTTACTACATCTGCTTGTCTGTTATGTTTATATTTATTATTTGATTTTATTATATTAATAACAGGATCCCATGACGATGGTAGTACCATGGTCATATAAAATTTTATATGAATAGGGAAGATGGCTGGGTACTACCATCGTCATGGGATCCTGTTATTAATATAATAAAATCAAATAATAAATATAAACATAACAGACAAGCAGATGTAGTAAGTTCATACTGTGTAGATCAAAATGACAGCTTATCAGATTGATATTTTTCATTTTTCATTTGTAAAAGTATATATTAATAGTGTTGCTTAGTAAGTTGTTTTTAAATAATAGCAAACTAAATTAAAATTATAATCCTTAATTAATTTTAACTTTTTAAATTACACATTGAACAATTATATGGCTTAAATAATTAATACTATATTTTATATTTTTCTTTATGGTTATAAATATAATAATGGCAACACTAAATATAGATTACTAATTAATATTTTTAAAATTGTAATAATTATAAAAATAATAGCAAAAATTAAATAAATAATTTTCCATATTCAATTATAATTAAAATTATAAAAATGTTTAAAGTTAAAATATTGTAATGTAATTGGTGCAATTTTCATTTGTTGATTGTGGGTAGGCTGTCTGTAACAACTATATCTTTAAGACATGTAACACCTCAGTCTCTCCCGTGACCATGGATGCTGTAAAGCATTCGAAACGTCGGGAACCAAAAATCAAAATAAATCCGCGAAATAATCCGAAAAGATAGTTTTATTTAATAAAGAATTTAAAGTTTTTTTTTTATTAAAGAAATATATAAAAATTGTATATATAATTGTAGAGACTCTGAGGCTCTATCGTCCTAAGTCTGGTCCAAGGATGAATGGGATCCATTATCTATATCTATACTAATATTATAAATGTGAATGTTTGTGAGTATGGATGTTGTTTGTTACTCTTTCACGCCAGAACGGCTGAACGGATCTAGATGAAATTTGGCTCAGAGATAGATTATAGTCTGGAATAACACATAGGCTAACTTTATGTATACACTTTTTATACCGGAAAAATGTACGGTTCCCGTGGGATAGGTTTGTTTTTGTTTTATTATAGTATACCTTTAAGATACTTAACTCAACGGACTTGATCTCAAGTAGACTAAAACGAGTTCTTGTAGAACCAGATAAAATATTGACGCATTAATTTATACTAATATTATAAAGAGGCAGAGTTTGTTTGAACACGCTTATTTCAAGAACTACTAATCCGATTTGAAATTCTTTTTGCATTAGATAGCCCGTTTATTGAGAAAGGCTATAGGTATATCATCATGCTAGTACCCAAGGGAGCGGAGAACCAATCATAAATGTCAACAAATTGGGCAGACTTCCATACATTATTGTAAAACTATACATATATTATATGTATTTAAATATATAAATGTCGCTAAAATCGGTGTCAATCTATAACATAAAGCCCAGTTTTTTTTGTAGATTGAAAGCAAGCGAGGCCGCGGGTTGTGCTAGTTATATAATAAACTGACTGAATTTCGTAGTGAAACTATTTTCCAACGTTAACCTTACAACTGTTTATTATTTTTAAATCCATACTAATATTATAAATGGGAAAGTGTGTTTGTTTGACCTTTTTTCACATCGATACGGAGTGACGGATTGGCGTAATTTTTTGTGTGGAGATAGTTAGTGGAAAGTAACATAGGCTACTTTATACCGCGGGAAATTATCTAATTCCAACGGGAAAACACGTTATATAATACAATCCAAAATAATATTTATGATCAGAATTATTTGAAACTTGGGAAGTAATGCTCTTCAATAAAATTAAATAGATACGTGTTTTAGCATTTTTCGAAATTCATCCTATAAGGTGTAAAATAGTGGATAAAAGTTTGTATGAAACTACCCTTTTAAAGATTTTTTGTAGTTTTAGCGCGAGCGAAGCTGCGGGTTCTGCTAGTAACTTTTATAAGTTTGAAAAAGGCACTAAACCTTACAAAATTAATATCAAGTAAATAAAAAGACTAATGAAAATTAAGAGTGTTTATTATGAAATCACAATTCATTCTTGTCAACTGTCTGTAAACTGAGCCGGTTGTGTTTGACTTAGCTGCCATGTTGATACCGCTCTAAGCTGATTAATTTTAAAAGACAAATAGACTAAATAAAAAACTTTGATGAAATTAAAACCTGTCATATTTAATTTAATAATATTACTTTATTTTTGACCGACGTCAAAAAATGAGATGCTCTTTCCCGGCGTACGTTTTTTATGTAAGATAGACCAAAGAGTATAGTTATAAACTGAGATAGACTCTTGTTCTTGGTCTGTGGCTTAGACTAAGGAATAATATAGACAGTTTCATAGAACCAAGACAATGATTTAAAACAGTGTACAGATGACAATATGTATACGTAGTGACAAGCAAATTAATGTTAATAAATAAAAATAGCTAACGGAATTTATTATAATAAAGAAAAAAAATGGGATAAGCTAATTATAGAGAATTTAAGCCTAAGAAATATAAAAAAAATATATCTATGTATTATTTTTATTGTTCATAATTTATTCTCAAAAATTATATATTAAATTAACTAATACACATTTTCTCTTATTCTTTCAACAAAGTATAAATCGAGAATGGTAGTTTTAACCATGGATGACAAATAAAATTTTAACAGCGACTCATGCTATATACTATTTTTGACTTTGACATTTATTTTCGCGGTCTCCATCCATCTACATATCTCTTTAGTTTATGGTTATCAATGGTTATCCAATATTTTCATCATGGATGATTTTCATCAATTGTGTCACGATTTTTGTTTTTTTTGAACAAATAGGTAATATATAACATCACATTTTAAATTTCAAGAAAAAATCTCAATCTACGTGGAATAATTACTTTTAGTCATTTTCAAATCGATGTAGAAAACTCAAGCAGGTAACTATTACTAACGCTACGAATAAAATATAATAAATCTATTTATTCGTAGTACAAATATCAATAAAACAGCGTACATTACTCAGTAGTTAAGTGGCTTTCTATTAGTGAAAAAGCTCTTCAAACCGAATAATCATTCCAAGATTATTTCCTCATTCCTGTATATAATGAAACAAATGTTATCCTTACTTATAAAATCAATTTACTCTTCGTTAGTTTCGCTAAGACTCAAAAACGGGTGGACAGATTTAAATAATTCTTTTTTTTTTTAGTTTAAGTATTAACAAAAATAGGTAAAACCCATAAACAGCGGGAAAATCGAAAAGTTGAGAACTTTTTATTTTGTTTGCAAATCACTACTTCGGATTACTTCCAATAGTGGCGGACTTACTCTCTGCAACAGTGTGTCTTTAAGTCGGAAAAAAATGTATATATAGTCTATCTATTCCATACTAACCGTTTAAACATACCTAGTAGTATATAATTTTATTTGATTTTGTGACTTGGTTTTAGCTTATTTGTTTAACGGGGAGGGAAAATATAGTTGACGTCAATGTATTAATTTTTATTTTTAAGCAGTAAAAGATTTAACAAAAGATCTATTTCCTTATAATTAAAAACAATTTTTAGTCATCAAACACTTTGTGATGTTACAAAAAATATTTAGTGAATACTTTTCTCACTAACAATAAGTCATAGTTAAAAAAAAATATCAAGTATGTATCATAGTAAGAATTAAATGTTAAACCGATTTTAAAAACTAGCTGAAATATCTTAGTTATAAAAACAACAAAAATTGATGTACCAATACAATTATTGACAGCTATCTATAGAAAATAAATAAAAATCCTGCTAACATAGATATTGCATCAATTTTAATTAAAACATCCAGTTTAAGTTAAAATTTAGAGATGATAATAAGGCAAAATGTAAGCGCAAAATGTAAATGTAACACATATATTTTTTTATATTTTTCTATACGAGATGCTAGTAAAATTCATTTGATAGCAAGCTGAAAATATTTTAGTTTATTTATTTTTGCTCAAGTAAATATTAAAAATACTTTTTATAGTGAGATTATAGAATTTTCTTATAAAATTTCACAATCGTGACATTCTCTTTTTTATCAAACTTTTTGTGGCATTTAAATAAATATATAAATTAAGTAATACTATTGTTGTTCAATAACGGCGCCGAATCTTCGTTTTCAGACTTTTCGCTGTCTGTGGACACTGTAGAAAGAAAAAAAATATATATTATCTATGATGATCTGAAAAGCAACATGCAAAAAAGCGAATTTTTAAAATATAAAAAAATCTAAGTAAATAAAATATTCTATAAATAAATCTATAATATTTCGAATAACACAGAAACTTTTTTTATATTTGAAAATCCTGACACTATTTTTTACATTTATTTGAGCTATCTTTGTCGGTAAAATATGGCAACATTAATATTTTACTGCATTTTATTAATAATGATAACAAAAATAAATAAAGCATTACATTAAATTCAATCACTACAAGGAACTCAATATCTTTAACTAATATTATAATTGTTTATTGATAGAATAAAAAGTGTAAATTATATAACTATTTTTGAACTAACAAATGAAAAATGCTTGCAGTTAAATTTTGATTTAAAAATTGTTCTAAAGGGCTAACAAATTATTACTATATTAAGGCATGTACACACTAAAGTTAAATACAGTTAATTATTTGACTAAAGTTAGTATAATTTTACAATAATTAAAAAAAACTAACTATAATATTAATATCCCAGTTATACTAAGAGATCTGACTGAAAAAAAGGGCAGAAGTTTAGATAAAATTATTATAATATTGAAATGAATTAAATAAATAAATAAAGGGTATATGGCGTAATTTATATTAAAACAGTTAATACGTTTTTAACCATAGATAATAAATGAATCAGACACAAAAGGCAAATATGTCAGATCTCTTTGCAAATAATTAAAACTAATCTACAGTAATATGTAAATAAAGCGCACACAAGCAACACTAACCTGAGCGTCCTTAACGTAGCTTATACTACACTATACTATATTATCTGAAACTTAAAACCGTATACCTTGTAGTTAAATTAAAATAAAAAAAAATCGTAAACGTAAAATATGGACATGGTATTGCAATAGAATAGACAATATTATAATTTTTATTAAAAAAAACTGTTTACTAAGAACTCTTTGGATATGATTTTTAAATGTGGCAAGTCGTCAAATATTTTATTTTCAAGAGGGAAAATAGAAGAATAAAGTTAATCTGATGGTTTCGAAATTGATATATGGGTTGAAGTATATTTTCAATGAATTATTAGTATGCTCAATACTAGGCAAAAAAATTGACATTTTGATCGTCTCATAAAGCCTATATATAACCCATAATGATAAAAATAACACCATATATAATATTTCAATTCTACAGGGTACAGATTAAATATTATGTTTTATTTTTTTCCTTGGGCTAGGCAAATCGTGATCACTTGTGTATGTATAAAATTATGTCAATAAATTATTTATTTATTTAATTATTTTAACCAACCACAGTCCATATCCTACAACTACGAAACAAATAAATAATTAATATCTTAATAAAACGCGTATGGAAAATGTACATTAGCTTATATTTCACATAAAATACACGACAGTATGATACATCGCTGCGTTGATTATTAACACCTATTTACACAAATTACATTTTCTCAATAAAAAAAAAACAACAAAAACTTACATTTAAGAAAAAACTTTTCCAAAGAAAATTAGTTTTTAAGTTTATTTTGACAGCTATTAAGTGATGTAATATACATTATTATCGATTAATCATACAAACGATATCGATTTTAAGGTTATGCAAGATTTTAATACTTTTAAAGAAAACTTAAAACATTTTTGTTTTAATCCAAAAAAAAAATGTCATTTTAATATAATAATGACAAAAGTAATATTATGACGTGTGTTTAACATTTATTTCTATTTATTATATATTTATAAAATAACAAAGTCTTCAGGACTCGATCTACATTCTATAATCAATCAAATATTGATTAAAATATAAATAACTTCTTATAATCTGTAACAATTTTGCATTGAAAGAAATACTTTGTGTTCACATACTTAGATAATTAACAGTGTATCACAATTTTTTCCCCTTTAAAACTTAGTTTGAAGGTAAAGTACTTTAATATGTCAAATATATTCTATGGATCGAAGACTATAATATATTTAACTTCAAAAAAAAAAAGTTTAAAACCTGCTGTTTTCCTACAATCGTCGTATATGAGTGTTATTCAAGCGTTATAGCGTTCATACGTTACATAAATACATACATAATAATTATATAGCGAATAAGATAGCTTAATGAACCAACCACCTAGATAGTCAATTTTGAACCCAATTTACATAGACGTAGGGTCGCAAATTAAAAAAGCATTAGTATAAGTGTTTATATGAAGAAAACTAGCTATTCCCCAAGTCCTTTAATTGTTATCGAGTAAGTATGCGTAATTATGATAAACTTTATTTTGATGAACGTTGTTTAAAAACCATATCTAAATAGCCATTCAATTGTTCAATTATTAAATAAACTTTTTGGGTGTTCTAAGATATACAATATACAGAAATGACCCCCAAACTATTTTATAGTATAGATAACATATTAAAAGTATCGATATTGAAGATTGAATTCACAAAATGGATAACGGTAGACGAAAATGATTTTGTAAATTTGAAATAGCTACAATATTATCTAATTTTGAGCTTCATTACGTACATATTTATTGTGTAAAAGTGGAGTTTTTAAGTTTCTTTCTCAAAGTCGAGTGCTCGGTAGAGTTGTGCCAAGTTCTATTTTGCATGAGTTATGTCATTTTAAGACTCCATTTTTACACATTTTTATTTAATTTTCTAACTAAACTGGGGTGAAACGAAACTCACGTGTATATTTGTTATATTTTGTAACAATTGTATCCCCAAACTTGATCTATAAGTAAGCAGATGTTAAAATCGTATTTTATCTAAACTTCAAGAAGAAAACAACTCAGTGTTACCACAATAAAAAAACAAAACAATATTTAATTTAAGGTCCAGCCTCTTTTAAAAGTATAACTTAATTTTTTTTAAGACTTTAGTGTAATATATAATTAATTTTTTTATATAATGTTACTATTTGATATATTACACGTATAATATCTACACATATCTACATTTAAAAGCGTTTAAAACCATAATAAAAAAATATAAGACGTACAAACACAACCCCTAATTAATTTTGCTTTAATCATATAGTCTGGGATAAATAAATATGCATATAAATAAAAAAGAAACTCCTTTCAACATTTCTAATTAACTTAGCGCAAGTGTCAACGGGAAATGTACACAAACACATAAGTACGTATTTACATGAAAGTCAAACGCTATACATAAAGTTTGTGGGTTTTTCATCAGGGGCCATTTTAGAGAGCATTCTTATTGGATTACAAAGATAGCAATTTACCGACTTGAAAAACGAGGTAGGTACACAGAAATTATTATTTAATTTCTAAGTCGAATGAATCTAAAAGCTCTTTCGAGGTAGTTGTAGACATATACATATAAAATCAATAAAAATCTGTCTATATATTTCTAACATAGAGGAGTATCTCAAACTAGTTGAAAATTAGAATGAGTCAAAAAAGATCTATTGCATCACAGTTTTGGTTTGAAACATAACTAATTTGCACAAAACACAACAAATCTTACGATTTCCTCATTTTAACAACTAATATTCGTCAAATCAACGACAAAAAAAATCGACTTGCTCCGACAATAAAATCGACCAACCAAAACTAAGCAATCACATCCATCAATTCCAATCAGAAGCTCTCTAAAACCTGAATATTTTGTTTATGTTGGAACAAAAATAACTAATTTCTCTTAGTTTTAGAAGTGCGTCTGTTCGTACCATTTCTCTCCGTGTGCTTGGGCGAGGCGGGCGCGGGCGGGTACGGGATGCGGAAAAGACGTATCTTGAGATGGTCGCATATCTCGAGACATATCTGCCCGCAGTATCTTATTAGGTCTGCGCACACCCAAACCTGGAAGAGAGACATTATCGATATTAACAGTTATACCATTAAAATCAATGTAAGGTGGTCCTTCACTCATCCTTAAATCTTTTTCATGGAATAAATTGACCAAATACACAGTGATGATCTAGATTCTAGACCTTATGTTACGTTAGCATTTTCTAAGTTTGATTAAACAGTAATTATACTACAGGATTTCAACCCGTGAATTCGTAAGTGGCTATGTATCTTATTTCCGACGTTTCGACTGGGTTGCACCAGCCGTGGTCACGTCGTAACGTTCGGGAATACGGTATATAGCTACTAACAATTTCGCATTTAAGTCCCGTAGTGTAATTATTATGGAACGCGAAAATTTTGAGTTATTTTGATTAAACAACCTTAGAAAATACAACTAACGCCATCTATTAATACGCAATAACTAATAGGCCAATTTCTTAATTATACAATATTATTGACGTTTAGTATGGAATAGACTATATAATATAATAGGTATAATAAGTTTTATATCCCTTATTTCAGAAATGATTCCCCATACAAACTTTTACCCCTTTTAAGAGATGATTTTCGGGATAAAAACTATCCTATGTCCATCCCAGGGTCTCAAACTATCTCCATACCAAATTTTATCTAAATCGGTTCAGCGGATTAAGCATGAAAAGGTAAGAGACAGACAAAGATACAGAATTACTCTCGCATTAAAATAATATTAGCATGGATGAAAGTAAAATTACTCACTTATAAGTCAATTTTTATTAATAAATACTTAATATTATAAATGTGAAAGTGTGTTTGTTTGTTTGTTTGTCCTTCATAAGTGGGTAAAGTAGGGCATAAAAACTTATATGTAACCGATCTTTTTAGAGATTTTTTTATATTTCTAGCGCGAGCGAAGCCGCGGGTTCTGCTAGTAATAAAGAAAATGTCTCACCGTGCACAGCCATAATACATAGTACTCTGGTATCGCATTGTTGAAGTATTGGTTGAGGAAGAGCATCGCTGGTCCCAGCAGCGACCAGTCGTAGTACTCCATTTCACTTTTGGTCATGTGGGCCACCTGACGGGTCATCAATGATATTTTACAACACGATGTATAAATATGCATATGTATGTTATTATGTTTGTACATATGTAATGAAGTTATTTTGCATTATTTGAAACCAGTAGGACCTAAGTGGATTGATAGCGCATCCGCGCCCATGATGCAATCTTTAGTAGCAAATTTTATCGAAATCTGTTCAGTAGTTTATACGTGATAGATAAGAAACAGAGAGGCATAGTAAGCTAAGGTTAATAAAAACAATTATAAACTTTTTGACATAAAATTAAATACATATAGCGTAGTATAAAAACGAAACTGATATGCACTTAAGAAGTTAACAAAAAAAACTTTAGTTTTTACATTGGGTTATTAACATAATATAAAAAAATCTAGAGTGGAACATTTTACGAATCAATTAACACAAATATGAGAAATTTTGGAATTTAAGAGTAAACCTAACTGTAAATTTTAAGCTAGTGACGTAGTAAGGTTATCAACAGCATCTCATTTTTGCAGTTTTTTTATTGAGTATGGGTCATTCTTAGACTAAAGAATTATATAGACGAATAAAAAAAGTCAAAATCAAAAATAGTAGCGTGATTTGTTGTTTATGATACTATTCTCGATTTTGCCATATAAATAGTTCTTTATTTAAAGAATATGGGAAATTTATGTAGGTATTAGTTGTTAAATAACATTTTTAACCATTAGTTTTCTTCCCCATGAACGAGAGATGGCATAATAGTAGCTTGATTTTTTTCCTTTATTATAATAAAAACCCTTTCATTTATTATTATTCAATTATTTATCACAGTACCTAATAAGACTTATTCTATTAATATTTGTATACTATTTAAAAAAAAAATTATTTGGCTACATGTTTACTTCTATATCACCCTGTCTATAATATTCTTTAGTCCAAGGGTTCATTATACTCCCACTTTAATTTTAACTTGTCATTTAAACTATTCATTTAAGCGAACAAAAACTAGGTGAAACTATAAAATTCATGTTTAATAATATGACTTAGCATTTTTCTTTCACACATGACTTCTAATCGTCCATATTTTTTCCAGTAATTAGAGCAGCAGCCTTGGACATTATGTAATAATCGGCTCAAAGATCGCTGGCAAGTTACATATAACAATAAGATCACAGTATTTATCGAGGTTGGTTGTCAACTACGTAACTGTCACGTTGTTCAATTCTATAGTGTTAATTAGGAACGCAAACTTTTAAAGTAACACATCAAAATTAAAGGTAGTCAGTTTTATTGACAAATTCGCTATATTAAATATATTTGTTAATATGTATAAAAATGTATTTATAAAATTAATCATAGTAGGTTAAAACTATCATCTGCAGGTGCACGGAAGTGCAACTGACAAGTTCAGACAATTTTAACAGAATAAGTAACATTTCATCGCTTTAGTGATTACTGCTTATTTGTTCCAACTGGAATACTTAGTGTAAAGTGGTCGTTTGGACAAATAAGCCAAGAGATGACGATTTATATGTTATTTATTTAATTGAACTCACCACAAGTCTATTTGTAACTTTGGCTGCCACCATTCCAAACGCGAGTATGTATAGAGCGGGATGGTTTTCATACACATGAGACTCGCTTTTTTGGAAAATGATGAACGCCGGAACCACGACCAGAGAGAACGGGATCACCGGCGACAATATGCTTGTACCCTAAGAAATAACACGCTGTAGCTTGTTCTTCAATAAATTATAAAGTCATTGCCTATTTACTGATATTCACTATATTTTTATATTTTCTTTTATATTGACTAATTCGATCAAAATTTTTTTTACATTTCACTTGTTAAATATAGTTAATATCAGTTTAAATGGACAATATAAAATGTAGCTACGAAGCCATGCAATACCAAGGAGCATTTAAAGCTAACTACTATATGGTATTAGAGAGGAAAGGAAAATTAGTATGAATAAATATGAAATAAGTTGACGAAATTTTGTTCAATTAATTGGGTAAGTATCATTGACTATGTTAACAAATTAAGTCAACATATTCTTTTATCGGAAGACGAACACAGAGCGAACTACAAACACAGCATTCGCGAATCGACAACGAAAATCAAAACGAGCATAACTATCATGCCTTAGCTGTCACTGCGTACACGTGATAATGGCGTCATGACATCGCTGTGAAAATTCAAAATGATCACGTGTCGACGGCACAATAATATTTAAATTCTTACTGCGACCGTTGAGCCATTTTTCCCCACTCCGCCTTTCATAATGACCTTAACGTAGCTGAAGACTAGTGCGAGTGTCACTAACACCACGCCATAATTGGACACCAAGTTCAAACTCTGGTTGACGGTCGGGATCTGTTAATATGTGATGAACGCGCGTAATGGCGACGTGAAGTCATGCGGTTACGTCCGGTGGCGCAGCGATCGCGGGCGACGGCCATTATTGAAAAGAAAATAATAAAAAAACATGCCATTAATATAAAAAAAATTGATGGCGAAACGAGAGATGTGTTATCTTCACTCATTCGATATAGTGGTTTACGCTGTCAATAATACGTTTTATTTCATTCGAGGACCGCATACTATTTGTTATTTGTATGACAATTATTTAAAGCCAGTATGTTATAGGGGTAGGAAAAAGCGTGCACAAAATAAAAAAAAAACTTGTTAACATTTCAATAAATATATGTACATACAGTGTTTAGAGTCAGGTTTCACGTGCATATTTATTGATATTAAATAGAAAATATTAGATAAGAATATAAGAAATTTCAATCATAAGCAAACAAAAATAAAATATAAAAAAACGGCATGGAAATTAATGTATTACATAGATAAATAACGTTTTAAAAATAATATTGTGCAAGGGAATATGCCAAAATACATTCACTTAGTATATTAAAAATGTAATTTTGACAGTAAACACTATTTTATGCCTACAGATAAAACATTATTCGCTTATTTACTCAGCTGTTAGACACATATTGCAGTGCGAAAAGCTTCAAGATAAAACAAGGTGTTAAATTAGTTTAATTTTATTATACAATCTCTCATAACACTTTGCAAATGGCGTTAGGATTAAGCCATACATATAACAAGATCTTAAATAAACACGGTTTAACCAATTAAAAAAAAATATTTACAACGTTTATAAACTAGCGAGTTAAAGATTTTGCCCAAGACATATCAACCTTACATTTATAAAACAAATTAAGCTATTTAGTGTCGAAATAAATGGCGAAATTTGGATAATTGACCCTACTAACGACTGGTAGACACCCTATTATTTGTCGAACATTGCCATACTTTAATTCCCACACCGTTTACCGGCACCGGCACGCGCATTGCTTACGGCAACTGTAGATCCATTTTTCCCGCAGCCCCTATCTCGAAATGTGCTTGCGAAGTTGATGGTAAAGTAAATAGCGGCCGCAAAAGATACTGCCGTCGCGTAGAGACCACATTGTATACCGAGGATCTGACGTGTACGAATTAATTTATAATAATTATACATAATATCAAGATGATTTTAGTGGGTCTTTACTTGTTAAAGTAAACAGGGTTAGAGAGAGCCCCCATTTTTTGGTGTAAAGCAGTGTACATTAAGCATATTTTCAATATTATTTGTGCATAGAAACAGAATTGTAAAAATGCTGTCTCATAAATAATGTAAATAATAGTAATTTGATATTTATTTTTACCTATTTCTATAATATAAATAAATTAAAAAAATATATCAAACCTCAAGTGTACAATGAGTGAAGACCCACATGATACGAGACAAAACAATTAACCATAACAAAATTACATAAAAGTACTTAATCTAACACATGATAAATAAATAACCTATAGAATATTATAATACACAGAATATATCAAAATAAAATACAGAAAATGCTCAATGTTACATAACATAAGAAAAAATTATAACAAAGAGCATAACCTAGATCTTAAAAATATACATGCTATTAAAAAAACCCACATGATAATAAGCGATGATTTCCAAATATCAAATCAAACATTAAAATAATGTTCTCTAACTATCTACCCTAATATAATACTTATGAGAATATACATGATACATAATAATAAATACAAGCTGAATAAAAACGAAAGCAAATTGTATGAAGAAACAAATACGCATAAGTCCAACCAAAGCTGATTAAGTAGATATTTTTTAAAATGAAAAACATAATTACATGGATTAGTAAGATCAGAACTAGGTATTTAAAGGGTAATAGGATAGGAAGTTCGATTATACGGGAAAAATAAATTTTAGTAAAATCGATCTCCCATGTCCATATATGGGTCAATTAGCTCACAGCGACAGTTGAGCCGTTTTTCCCTACGCCACCGGCTGCGATGGCGGCGGCTAGAGACGCCATCGTGAGCGCTACACCCGCCACTGCGACCATGCCCAGCGAGTAACGCACTTCCATTGCACCCTAGAGCCAGCCACTTTTGTAAACTTCGAATTTACTCACTTTTCTATTATTTTATTAAAATATTAATAATAATCGTTATAAACTTTATTGAAATCATTATAATTCTCACTAATGTTATCAATGCTAAAGTGTGTTTGTACGTTTGTCTTTATTTCATAGGATCATCTGCATAGAGATAATTATGGGCTGGCAAATGAAATAATTTTATTTATCCCGGTACATCAAGTGGTTCCCTTGGGATATTAATTTGGTGCAAAATTTTACTTAGGTCGTGCCAAAAGTTATAATTAAGGCGGATAGAAATTATTCATAACGCACAATTTGCTGTGCTAATAAGTGGTTTAGTTAAGGCATGCCATTACATTTGGTACTACACATTTTGTTACATATTACTTAGTTTATTTTCTATTTATAGATATTAATATTTTTTTCTACAGGCTATAGTGCTCTTGGCGTTGATAAACTTAGCTGCATATTAGCTCAATAATTACAATTTATAGAAAGCATATACTCTTACTTAGCATGCATTTTAATCACTAAAGATATGAGGAAGAAACATTATAATAATATTGATAAAAAACGTTTGTGATCAGTCCTCAATATCTAGCATGTACATATTCATATTATGTTCCACTTTAATTTATTGAACATATTAGAATGGAACAGTGATATATAAATTGCCATGCACGAGACTGAAATATAGTTCAGATTCGATACAAATATATTATTTCGAAAATATAATTCATGTGGGTGTTTTTAAAGAGATCATTACATAAATCACTCATAAGTGTTCATGTAACAACAGTTACCAAAAATAAATATCGCATAAACTTCAATAAATTGCTATTCAATAATTAAATATGCAAACAATTAAATATGCAAATGGATAAACCAACAAATCAAATTATTGAAATTTTATAATTTTCCAAAATACGTCAAGCAGTGATTACATTACCTTAGAGGTCCAGGCAGCGGGGCCAAGTATCGCAGATACTAAGTGTATTCCGATAATAGCGTACTGTGCTTCAGTCACATCTATGCGTCCCATTTTAAGCGTACCCGTGACGTACGCTTGCCAGTGCGCGCAATAGAATAGAGTCATTGCACAAAAACACTGAAACGATAATAAATAAACGTTTTAAATATCACAGTAAAGCGAGCCTAATATTATATGCTGTTTTAGACATGTTAGTTTTTTACATACTGCCAAGGGAAGGTTATGTTTTACGCGCGTATTTTGTATGTATGTGTGTATGCTTCTATGTATATTTGTAAATTTCTTTATTACCTCGTATCTTCCAAACGGCTGGATGGCTTGCGACAGTTAAGTATCGTTAGATTCGTCTTAAAAACTCTTAGATAGGTGTTTTAAAAAAATCTAAATGACTGATCCTGTGCGCCAATTTGTGCGCCAAAATATTTTTCATCCGAATCAATCGAGTGGGGTTTGATACTCCAATACAGGTTTTCAATACATACGTATAATAATTTACATAGTATTAAAGTATTCTAATAAACTTGACACCGCGCTGCCATGCCCGCAACATGATAAAGTACATTTTAAACATCGCAATTATCACGGTACTCTACATCTCATGAATAAAATTTTGTATTAGAATGCATGAGTGTTAGCATTTTGCAAGCTATAAACAGTTCATTGCCCGCCACGCCGCGCCGCGCCGTCGGAGCGTAACATCTTGTCCTGACCTAATGTACATCCCGTATCTTGCGCAAATCCTACTTATGTTTCAATATGCAGTTACTAACTAAGCTCTTACGTTTTAACTAATATTATGAATGCGAAAGTGTTTTTGTTATTTTATCATTCACTCCACCTCCAACTCCACCAAATTTTGCATATTTTATAATTTTTTTTAAATATAAATTATTATCCATCGCCGATGATAGCTTTCTCATGAATTATAATGTTGACATTTTATTAAACGATATTACTAATTTGACTTTGACGATTCAAAGGGCTTGTAAGTCTATTTAAATTATGGTTTTAACGTTTGATATAGATTTCTCAGATATGAGATATTTTCCCGCCGTAAAAAGTATCCTATATATTGTGACCCAGGTAACCAACAAAAGTTATCATCATATCAAATTTCAACAAAATCCCTCTAGTGGTTTTCCATGATGCGGTCACAGATAGACAGACAAACAGCCAGACAAAAATTCTAAAAACTATAGATTCGGCCTCTGTGTCAATAATAATGTCTATTTCGATAAGATTTAAAAAATATATATTTAATGTACAGATTCGGCTTAGTTACAATTTTATTATATGTATAGATTTGATTTGGTACATGAATTGGGTATCGTGTGATGTCACCTTCCAAGACAAACTTATTTATGTGTCACTAGTAGATACATATTAAAACATGTTTTCTGGTCAAATAAAAATTAATTATGGCTAACATAACTTTTAAATTGATAAGCATTAATGAGACTCAGCGATAACGCTAAGAGCGAACTATCGATCGTAAATGCTTAATAAAGAGCTTTATTAAATTAAATATTTTGTACCGACATTGGATTTGCTTTCATAGATTTTATTCTATTATATCGCTATTCATCATCTTTTATAATGCGCACAGCCAAGAAATGGAATGCCTTGCCTGCGTCTGTTTTTCCGAGAGCGTACAACCTGAAACTTTTTAAGGTGCGTGTCAACAGGCTTCTCCTGGGCAAACTCGCTAGATCATAGGCCTTCAAGTTAAGATGAAGGTCAAGAGTGAGCCCATTTTTAATTAAAAAAAAAAATATATTATTTCCTTTTTATATTGAATTCAAAATTATTTATTCAGCGTAGAAAATAAAATCAAAATTATCAATACTCTCTGCTACTGTAAAAACAAAGCTGGATAATAATATAAATTTAATTGCAAAGTAGGTAAATAAAGATCATCGATATTACTTATTAAACAATATTTAACTCCAGGTAAATTTCTAAGAAATCTATTGTTAACTGTATCGCCGGCGTGTCCGCGGTCGTGGAGGGATTAGAAAACTAAAATTTGGTACATTTAAAATATCTTGTCTGGACAAAAATATAACCATAATACTCGTATATATAGAACTGGTTGTGTAGAGATATGCCGTTATGAGTAAAAGCTGCTTTTCAGTAGTTTCTAGTTAGTAATCATGTACGATATTTCCAAGTATATGAGAAATGTTATGGAAATATCTTCAAGGAGTCGAACAATCACGAGAGCAAACAACATATTGTATTGGAATGCTACTGCATTAATTGTCTACTGTTTTATTTTATGAATGTATAAAATAAAATGCAATTATTCTTAGCCGTTATTATCATATCAGAGACTTTCTTTTTGTAAGAACATATTGTTAGAAATTTCTAAACTTTCATCAAGGCTTAATTGAAATGCATTATTTAATAAATTTTGTTAATGACAGAGAACCATGACTGCGTGAAATTCATTACATAATTTTTTCAAGTAGGTATAATAGTCCATACTAAAAAAATATAATAAAATAAAAGTTGTTGTAGGTAAGTGAAAAAGTATAGAAGATTGACATTTAAGCGTAAGATACCCATGAAGAAACCTAAAAACCTATATTAAATAAATAAAAATGAATCACCAAAATGTATGTACACGCATAACTTCCGATCGACTGCACCAAATTGGACAATTTTTTTTTGTGTTTTTATTATTGTCAGGACAAGCTTAAATCTCATCATATAAAAAGTGAGCGAGTGAAATAGAGTTTATCCCGGAAATCATCCCTAAAGGGGGTGAGAATGGGGATGAAGAATGGATGAGAATGGGGGTGAGAATGGGGAAGCAAGCTATGGACGAACCCGAGTGAAGCGAGGGTGTGTCGCTAGTATGTAAATAAAAATCCTTCGAAAAAATTGATAACACGAATTAATCAATCGAATACTCGATAGTTTTATCGAGCAAGTGCTAGACAAAAATTCGCTCCCATACTCCGAATTAGGAAGAATACATTGTTATATTTGGCACTTGGCCAGTGTACGCTGACACACGCGCGGGACCGCTGCCAAGTCTCCCGGGCTAATTCCCTAGACAACCACAGCTAGACCTTGTGTGTTACTCAATGAACTACCACCCTCAAGGTCTTCCGCGGAATCAATACGTTTAATAATGCAATTCTCGACGTCTTGTTTATTACGATTAATTAGAAAATTGAGTTCAGTTTTAGTATTTTCCATGAAAAGTAATCGATTGAGTAGTAGTTTAAAGGGAAAAATCGGGCAAATGCGAGTTCGAATTGCACACCGATGGTTGATGGATGAAATATTAAATTGATGTGTTGTGTGACGTTATACTTTTTGTATACGTAATTTGTTATCGTCTGAGGAAAATAAGATATTTTTCCTTCCTAAACAATGACTTAGAAACAATTTAAAAGACCAATGTAGAAATTCCTCGCACACTAAAGTGGACTCAATTACACGTATGGAGTGCCAAACCAATAACACGCTGAACAAACTCCGTCATATATGTGCATACGTCTATAGTATCCCGAGTATAATGGCTATGACACACGGAATATGACGAAATTATAATGATTCCGTTTTTGCCTTTAAGCTACAGAACCGTAACAAAACTGAGCTTCTTAACCTTTTTCCAAAGTCATTTCGGCTTGATGATGTGGGCCGTTAGGTATTGGCCAGTCAATTACAGAGTTCGTGAGAATATTTCGCTTATTTCAAATATTACGCTTACAAACATTTTACATAAATCAAAAGATCACTGTAACACGACAAAATTAAGAAGTGGTAAAAATTGGGATGCTCATGAGGAAAATCTTCCGGACGTACCTACTACTGGGCTTTCCTTAACTAATCTAGGAAGTTTAATAAAAAAGTAGGTTAATAAAAGTACCTATTAACTGGAAAACCTTTGAAGCAGCATAGCATAAGCATAAATGGTCATTCCTATACTTGTATCTATATAATCTTAGACGTCTATAATCCTAGTCTCTTCCACAGCCATATTTGGACCATAAATGCACGAAACACCAAAAAAAAATCCTTCAAAACATTTACAAGATAGTTTTATTTAAAATGGGCAAACGGACGTAGTTACACGTGGGAGCTGTCGAGTATCGCATAAATAACATCGCTAATTAAAATCCGTTTTCTAAGGGCACGCTACTTTTATAAACTTAAGTTACTTTTCATTTGAAATTGAAATGCGGAGGCAAAAATGCAATTTAATTACTGAGCGTCACATATATAGGTCATTTTAAGTCACATTTTTACATACGTCAGAAAGTGTTATAATATATCAGTCTATCGATTGGACGTAATAGCTAAAAATAAATACGTATTGATTTATGTGCGTATACGTTATGCTTTTCAAAACAAACGCCGTTTGTAATTGCTTATGAATAAATAGGCGATGTTAGGAATCATAGTATGATGTTGTAAGACCTTTGACTCGCATGCAGAAACATGCTACAAATATGTCGGGACATTAACACACAACACCATCTAGTTCCATGGTAAGCTACGAGGCTTGTGTTATGGATACCAGATAGTTGATACATTATACATATATAACTTTAAAAACATACATATTATAAATATAAAAACTCATGACTGGAGGACAAACATTCGTGCTCATCGCACAAATGAAGGCCCCCAGCGGGACTCAAACCCGCGACCGCTGGCGCAGCAAGTAGGGTCACCACAAACTGAGCCAAACGTGTCGTCGAAACATTGGCTAAATTATTCTTTCTTACTCAACCAATCTGTTCAGTAACTTCCTTCTATTAAAGGCTGGGGCATTCCGCGTCAACCGTACACGTAAAAAACACAAACTATAATTTGAATCATTAAAATGTGACGTCATAATAACAATACGAACCTGGAAAAACATCCATGTGGGATATTCCCCAAGTTTCACTGCTATGCAAGCCCCGAGAGCTATGAACACTGTGGATATGCTATCGCATCCATGGTCGAATAGCTCGCCTAATGGAGACTGACTGCCCGTCCGTCGGGCTTGCTTGCCGTCTATTGCGTCTAAGCTCTGGTATACAAAGACCCCGAGGGCACACAGCGCGCAGGCCCATCGTGGTGGTTCCTGTCGCGCATCTGGACTATACCTGTAAGACCAAAAGACAATTAAATATTATAACAAATAGTGTCCACTTTTTTCAGTATTAATTTTTTTATACAGTTACTATAAAACATAAAGAGCAATGCCTACATTAAAGAATGTTATGTAGTAACCGATCTTGGTATAAAAAGAAGCACGCACAACCATACATTCCTATATATAACTAGATTGATTACTTATTGTACATACTGTACTATAACTCACATTTACTGTATGATAAAGGACAGGCAAATATTCAAAATAATATTCCTACTACATAGGTTTAATTTAGTTAAGCAGTTATTAGAATATTCAAGGCCAATTGGAAAAAAGTAAAGTCAACAACCTTTGACTGTATTAATAGAATTGATATAAAAAGAAGTGGTTCTGTGTTGAAATGTAATATGGTGTTTTAAATATGTATGTTTATATTTAACATGATAAAACGATAAAATATATACTAATATTATAAAGAGGCAGAGTTTGTTTGTTTGAACGCGCTAATCTCAGGAACTACTAATCCGATTTGAAAAATCTTTTTGTATTAGATAGCCCTTTTAATGAGGGAGGCTATACTATATGATATATTTAATATTCTATCTATTCCACTCTAACTGTTTAATTGTACCTAGGGACAAACCGCGAGCAAAGCGAGATTGAGTTGCTAGTATTAAATAAAACCACATTTCAAGAAGCTGCGGTCTAACAATTCATAGCTTTCTTAAAACACCTAACCTAACTTCAATAAGATATCTGTATAAACTTGAAGTTGTTTATGTAATGTTTGTTTACATAATGACTACCGCAACAACTAGCTAAATAGTTTTGACAAATTCATAAAATTCCAGATATTCCTAATCTAAGCATTTCTCTTCATTTTTCATTCATGGTAAATTATCTTTGGGTTTGATGCCTATTTTTTTATATATAACCTTTTTTTTTATATTCCACTGCTGGGCATGGGATGTTAAATACTTCCGTCAATGCGAGGGGAATCAGGCCTTAGTTCACCATGCTGGCCAAATGCGGGTTAGCAGACTTCACATGTCTTTTGAAAACTTACTAGTTTGTCTCAGACATGCAGGTTTGCTCACTATGTTTTCCTTCACCGTAAGGCAAGTGGTAATCAGGTTGGAAATGATTGGCACATGGAAATATCATAGGTGTGAGACCCAGGATTTGAAACCACTTCACTTGGTTCCCCAAGCGAGCGGGTTACCACTGGGCTACCACTGCCTTTAACACTAGGCTACTACTGCCTTATCTATTTACCATTACCTATCCATTATAATTATTAGAAATAGTGTGTGTGTTAGCCAAGTTCACACAAAATGGGGTAATATTATTACTTAAAAGTCATCAATAAATCACATCAGACTAGTAAACGGACAAAAGGTTAATTAAATCTCCTTTCTACATAATAATGTATAAAGTATCTCTTTTAATCTCTAGCAATCCTATAGTAGAAAATGGAAAAGAAGTTACAATCATCAATATTTAAATTCAAAATCATAAGTCATAATAAGTATAAGCATTAAATAAACTCAAAGCAGTCAAGTTCATGTTCAATGACCTCATTGGCATACAGGTATTTGTATTACAACCAAAAGTACAACATACTTTTAGATTGGTACGAAAAAGTATTATAAATCATCTTTTTACTGTAAAAATTCAGGGATTCCTTTTTTAATTATGTAAATTGAACTAGATAATGAAAATGAATCTAAGTTGCAAAATATTTGCTTTGAGAAGGGAGAGAATGTGGCAACACATATTCCACTTTCTGTCTGTTTATATTCAACTGGCAACTCACCCTTTCTTCAAAAACACTATCCCACAGGTACCATACATTTTTCTGGGATAGTAAAAAGTTTTAATAGCTATTCCACACTATAATTTATCTCTATGCCAAATTTCATCCAAATCCGTTTAGCCGTTCTGGTGTGAAGAGTAACAAACATCCATATATCCATTCTCATAAACAATATAGGCATAGTCATAAATAAGGTTGCTTTATAGGCCAAAAAACTCAGAAAGGAAAATATGTTAGAAAGGTCAATGACTTGATATAATCATGAACATCATTAACATGTTTTGTTAACAGCTGCTTAGTGACAATTTCACTGTATTTTATGCTTTATATTCAATATACTGATACCATTTTTTAGTTTTTAATTAACTTAATGTATATTGAAAATATAAAACTTATTACAAAATTCTTTACCATTTCAATAGATATTTATAATAATATATGTATTAGTTTGTTATCAAAAACAATTAATATATTATAGTTGACATAATTTCGTAACTACTTTGCTCTCTTCTAGAATGTTATTTTCAGTTTTATATATTAAACATGACATCCTGCTACTATAGTTTTGCAGTATTGGCTATTATGCAGTTTTATTTCATTATGTTAAAAAAATGACATATAAAACATTTAGACTTAAAATCAATTAGGGTCTTTTTCTTAGGCTACCAATTAAATTGAAATATGTATATTGTATTTATTTCTGTAAAAAGTTATGATTTAGTATTTCAAGTAGTAATAATAATTATGGACCTCTTTCCACTAAAATTTGTTATACTACTATACTGTAGAGACCTTGTCAGCCCAACTTGTATTTTTAAGATAAATTAAATAGTCTAAATCTAACTACAAGTTTATATAATTTTTATAATTTATGGTTATAGTAAGTACATATTGTCAAATAAAATAAAAATGCAACAAAATTTAAAGTTATTAAATTGATGTTTAAATTAATTTTCAAATTTAATAAAATGTAGATATAATTTGAGAATGATATAATATTTAAATTTTTTGTTCGTATCTTATCAGACGGTGGCGCGACTCAGTCCACCAATCATATGACAGACTCCTATAATACGGAAAAGATTGTCCAAATAGCCAAAAATCTTCGTGAAGGTCGTTTTAAAACATAGAAGAAAAGAAATTAAGTAGGTTAAAAGAAAGTTGTCTGCAACTTACTTGCTAAAATGAAAGTCGTTCCGTTACTTTACAGCATGACACAATTTTCGCAATGATTATTAAAGATGCAGTTGAAATAATCTGAGGACTTACCATACTAAAATAAGTGTGGTGACAATATTAACTATTAAACCTAATATAGTTATGAGATTCGGAGCAAGCCATAACGGCGTCTTTGAGACGAGCCAGCACCACCACGGCTGGAGCCAAGCATCCAATATACTAGCACTTGTACACGAATATTTGTGTTCACTAAGTCTTTTTAACTGGGCAGCGTTAAGAATCCTGTCTTTATAGAACTGCATTTTTAGTCACTGTCACGACATTTAATAAAATAAACACTACACTTCACTATATTATAGACGATATGAAAAATCGCCTCGACCTATCAAATACATCATTCCACCATGTGGGCCAAAAGCAATTTGACAATTTTGTAATTAAAAGTAGCGGTGTGGATGCAAAGTAATAGAACTATAGACAAGAGTTGTCAGTTGTGACACGATTTTACTATAGGCAACACTGAATTATTAAAATGTCAAAAATATCGTATCGTACAACACAGATTATAACAACACATTACAAAAAAACAGATTATAATTTTGTACTAAATCTCTAATCTCTTTTCAAATTTAATAAAATTATGCCTGATTACGTCCATGTTTATGATACGAGTTACATAATATGACGCTTTTAAATTAACTTTAAGTATTAAAACTAGCAGACTGGCTACGCGTTGGTGTGGCACACATATGGAAATGGTTAATTTTGCCATAAAAAAAGAAAATAATCGTGATAAAAACTATCCTATCTTTAAGTCGGAACAAATCACATATTTTGAAAAAAAATCGTTATGATTAGATAAACAGTTTCGGAGTTCATCCCAGACCAATATCCACCAATTTTATATTTTATAGAAAAAATTTCACAGAAAAAATTTGTTTATTTGCATTTTTTGTTTGCATATAGTCACTAAGCGATTTTAATTAATCTTTGCTTATAGTACATTTTGAGTCTAAAATATCACCTAGAGACCCTAGTCATTAATCCACTTAAATATAAAAAATGATGTGTGTTACATAGACACATCATTTTTTTCCTTATGGACGGCAAAACGGCTGGAGTGATTTTGATGAAATTTAGTATTTTTACTTCGCCATCTTATTAATTTTCGCACAACAAATTTATTGAATTGAAAAAAAAAGAAAAACTGTTGTTGTATACCATAATTTCGGTACTAAAATGCAAAACTTGTCAAATTATCAAAATTGTACAAAAAAGTTATAAGTACATATATTAATACAAAGGTACAAAATTTTGTATTTGCAATATCAATTGAATACTTGAATTCAAGGTAAGTAAACACATTCAAGGTAAAATAAAACATAACGTAAAATACAAAACTTTATTTCAACAATAATTACAGAGTTACATAATACTTACGCCTTAAGACGCGGGCCACTAATAAGCTGATGACACTAAAATATTACATATTTTATATATAAAATATAAACAAAATTTAATTCTATAGTACTTTGTCTTACATTATAAGATATCTACATATAAAATATATGTTTGTCACACGTTGACTTTTTCGGACACTTTATTTTATACTTTAAATAATATAAAAAATGAAGAAGAACAATATTATGTACAAAACTAGTATAGTATTTGTGCAATAGTTTACTCGTAGTTTAAAAAAATGTTTTTATTTTTGTTTATTCATTGTTTTTATTTTAATATGTAATGTGACATATAAAAATATATTTCTGTTCTTGGCTAATAAATATAATTGCTACTGAAACTTAAAAGTTAACTAGTTATATAACTTCGGAAGACATTGAATATTGAATTCTTTTATATTTTAAATTTTTCTTATTTTTAATTTTTCTTTTATATTTAAATAATTATTATTAATCATATTATTAAAAATCGAAAAAGACATAAATTTTAAAATCAGTCATTTATACTTCACACAACGAAAAATCAAGTTCGCATTTTGTTAAATAATGTAATACAAATAATAATAAAATGCTAATCAATAATATTTTGAAGGCACAGAAGATTTAAAAATAAATAATTAATAAGAAAGAAAAATCTTAAATACAAAAGACCACAGTGCTACCTCGTTTTTGCCTGGGTTTTTCTAGATTCAATTCTCTTTTGTAGCGTGGTCAGTAGAGCCCCGAGTACATTGTGTCCAGGCAGACGCTTGCCAAACAGAAGTCTTTTTACAGAGTCGTCATATGTGAGCAACGCAACCATGTTTTGTAGAAGAAATCCTTGGCAGTATTCTAACAGCTGCGTAGCGCCGTAAACCTAAAAACAAAACAAAATATCATAACCATTATTTTGTGGATGAAAAGTGAAAAAAACTTTATTTTCTATAGGTTTGTACTATGGTTCTTCACATTTACAAAAAAATAGTTGCTAGAAAATGTGATAAGTAGAGTCGGCGTTTGTACAGTTTGCCAATCTGTAGACTTTGCGTTATACTCCTGAGGTCCTCAGTTCAATCTTCGCTATTTTTAGCATTCGCTATTAAACATTTTATTCTATACTAGGGTTATGGGCGAACCCACACTTCCATAAATCCATAAATTCATGACGTACACAATAGTACGAAGTTCCAGCACTGAATTCATTTTAAGGGTAAGCGGTAAGCAGTCAAGCTAACTTATCCTTAGCAATAGCCATAGGCGAGACGCGCACTACATAACATCAAGTCTACTTATGACTACTATTTTCCGAAAGACGTACCTATTAATAGAATGAGATTTAGAATAAGATTATAAACAAACTTGTTTCCATATAGGTATTATTTTTGGGATTTAAATACATAATAGTAAACCACAAACCAACCTTAGCATGTATATAAACAGACACAAGGTTGTGCAGGTCGACAGACTTGGCAGCGCGCGCCTCGCAGTGCCTCTGCAGCGGCAGCAGCTGGAAGAAGGAGGCGGCGGCGAGCACCTCGAGCACGTCGCTCGCGGGCAGCTCCAGGGACGAGCAGCCGCCGGAGTACAGGTACTTCATTACTTGCTGTGGATATACATTTATGTTATCTTAACAGATAATAACTAGATAACATGATGCCCATAATATCTTGTGTTATTATTGGAATTATGTTATCTGTACTACGATTTTAAAGAAACAAATGAAATACCATGACTATAAAACTATAATTTCGGATTTTTTCTAAAGTATCCACATATTAAATATATCAAAATAAGTCTGAAAAAAAGGCCGACAAGATAGTTTTATTTTTAAAATGTCAAATATTGGCCTAAAACTAATAAAATAGTATTAAAAATATGTAATACTATTCTCACTTCAAATATATGGTATCTGATATCATTTATCTGCACGAGCGGTGGGGCGGCAGCGGCAGGCAGCTCGCGCGGCGCCAGCATAGCGCGCAGGCGCGGCGACTCCGACACCAGCACGATCTTGTGCCCGTAGAAGAGACGACCTTCCACCCTAAGAATTGTATATACAGAAATGTTTTATATCTTTATAAGTAAACTAGCGACTTACCCGCGCTTCCATCGGGTTCGTCCCTAGGTTGCTTCCCCATACAAACTTTCATCCCTATCTTCACCTCCTTAAAGGATGATTTCCGGGATGAAAACCATCCTATGTCCTTCCCAGGGTCTCAAACTATCTTCTTACCAAATTTCATCTAAATCGGTTCAGGAGTTTCGAAGTTTATTCGGTACAAACAAACAAACAAAAAAATCTTTCCTCTTTATAATATTAGTATAGATAGATGAGTGACATAACTGCATCCCTAGATGTCATAACAGTACCTATATGTGACTTCAGGTCAGATCTAATTGTGTACTAGTTCAAATCTATCCAGCTGTTACAGCGTGAAGAAGTAATAAACATACAATTTTTTTTGTGTACTTCTGGGGTCATCTGGATGGTAGTTAAGTGGACACGTTTGGTGGCGATGTCTGCACTTTTTTTTTAATTTTCTGAAAAACTTTATAGAAATTAATATTTAATTGAAATTAAATATATTAATTTTAGGTTAAATCCGGCATTGGCTGTAACAAACATAGATTTACATGCATATTATGTACTATAAAAGTAATTATAGTACACATATCTATGTTAGTTACTAGCAAAGGTATATAGGTAGTGTCGTATCACTTTTAACTGCCTCCGTGGTGTAGTGGCTAGCATGTACGGCTGCACACCCGGAGGTCCTGGGTTCGAGTCCCGGGTCGGCCCAAGTTTAGTTATTGAGTCTTTCTGTATAAGTAAGCCTCAGTAACAGCCCGGAGTGGGGAAGTTGGCGGTGTTTCACCCCCGTGCCTCGGTGAGCACGTAAAGTCGTCGGTCCTGCGCCTTAACTCTCACTGGTCGTGTCGAGCAGTCGACCCACCGGAATATGAGAGTGACAGGAATAGAGAGTGCACTTGTGTCTGCGCGTACACTTGAGCACTATAATATCTCCTGCGCAGTTGGCTAGTCTCAATGAGATTGGCCGCCGTGGCCGGAATCGGTCGGGAGAACATCAATCAATATGTGCTAAATTTTGATTATTTTATCCAAGAAAATATCTTGTATTTTGAAAAATAAATTCTGTATCCACAGTTTGAGGATTATTCATTATCTAGGGTACATACATAGTCTATTAACATAGTTAATGTGTTCTAAATAGATTTGTTGGTGTATTTACTATTGTATCTTTAACGAACAGCATCATTAAGATATACTAATTGCTGAGATAAAAAATAATTATCCGCTGCCCTATTAAATTTATTTCTATTGTGATACCGTAAAATATATCAAACTTATTATCTCTCTATATTATAATAAAAAATGTGTTCTTTACACTGTTTGATTTTACTGACTTATTCATTTACCACTTCTGACTTTAGAGGACTTCATTTTTACTACCAATGAAAGATTTGTGATATCTTTTAGGGAAATGCGGAAGAGCAAAATTTATTCTTTTAACTGGTGCGTTTCCTTCATAAAGGTCAAAGATTATCTTACCTGAAGGTAACATCGGCGAGGAACGTATTGTTAATATAGAAAAGGTCGGGTTTTTGATTCCCTTTAAGGGATGACTTCCCTTGAAAATCAAAGTTTATCTTACCTGAAGGTAACATCAGCGAGAGAGGGGTTGTTGACGTAGGAAGGGTCGACGCGCGCGGGCGCGGGCGCGGCGGGCGGCGGCTCCAGCACCGGCGGCACCGGCTCCCAGCCGTAGCACGCGCACAGGATGTCTGCTAGCAGCAGGACTGTGCCCTCCTTCTGGTCGCCGAGAAGAGGAACAGAGAGTAAATATAATTCGGTTACATTATTTTTTTCATTGAGGGATGTTAAGTACTGATCGCGAAGATTTGTGTGAACATAGCTCGGTTGTTAGAAGACGGTTACTGGTTATGAACATTGTTTTCGTCGAGTGATGTTAATGAGATTTTTTATCAAGTTGAAAAAGAATTTTTATTACATTTTATCAATAACTAGCAGTACCCGCGGCTTCGCCCGCGTTTAAACTACTAAAAAACAAACTCTTTGACACACCGACAGCAGCGCCACCTACCGTGTCCAATTGTGTTTTCAAACCAACCCAAGTCCAGCCCTTTAGGAAGAGTAAGGTGACAAACACACGTACAGGAGAATTATATATATTGAGATAGTACACCGACTTCTCAGAATCGGCAAATTGATTACTTGCACCTATTTGAAATTATTTTTTGTGCACGTTGCCTGGCTGTTACTGCCTGCGACCTTCCCGATTGTGATTCAATTTAAAAAAATGAATAAGTTATCATTATAATTCGAGAGCGATCGCTTCATACTTGAGGCCATAAAAGGTTTTAAATGATTATAATTATTTGCAGATTTTGAATTTATTTGTTATTATGTTTACAAACTTAAATTATTTTGTACCTTGCTGTAACGTAAAATATTGAAAAGCAGAGGGAGGCACTCGTAGATAAACTGCTTGCTGTAGTGGCTGTCGTCTGATGGGCACACCTAAAAACAATACGAGTTATAAAGCAGAACCATGGCTTTCTTTGCTTATTATTAAAAAAAAATGTTATTGAAACTTTTGGAGATATTTTTTATCATTTAATACTATTTAAATCAGTTTTTACACTTCTTTGATTAAATACATAAGTACCTAAGTGTACTTAAAATTTACGGTTGATTTTTGAAATCATTTAGATGTTCAAAGTTCACGTAAAAAGCGGGAGAGTCAAGATCTGGTAGTTGCAAAAGAAATTCGATTTGAAATGAATCATGAAGTTTTTATCATTCTCTTACCTGTAAGAAATCTTGTAGTAACTGGTCTATGACGTGGTCTAATGAAGCCTCGGCGGCCGCCGCCAGCGAGAGCGTCCACGCGTGCAGCGACCACGGCACGCCCAAAGCGCGTAGCTCCAGTGTTATATCTGCAATACAATTCAATATATTTGATGAATCATTAATTTATAATAAACTTCAAAGAATTTAATAGAAATTTGGAAAAAATGTATAAATATAATGGAAGGCATGATTTAGTTTCGATAATGTACCTAAGATTAGACCGAGACGGAAAGACGAAGGTTTTAGGTTAAATTCCCGGGTAGGACCCAGTTTATATGAGTTTTTCTGTCAAGAAATTCTCAGTAACAGCCAGGGTTGGGAAATGTTTCAGAGAAATGTTGAAACATTTTCCAAAGAGTAAACTCTCGTGCCACGGACAGCATGTAAAACGGGCATGTTTTCTCACAGGTCGTATATCATCGTCTCACCGGAGTTTGAGAGTGATAGGAGTAGAGAATACCTATACTATATTTTATTTCAAAATTAATTTAATTTCATTTCATTAAAATTGGGCATCAAATTTTCAAATATTTAAGAAAACGAAGTATATACCTAAATGATCAGTCTCAGCTGCATAATACATGGCGTCTTGTAAAGCTCTCTGTTGCTGTTTGGTGAAGGGCGGCGGCCTGCCCGAGGCCGGCGGAGCGCCCTCCGCGAGCACCTCCTCCAGCGACAGGATGGCGCCGCCGCCCGCACCGCGCGCGCCGCCGCGCACCGCTGCGCGCAGGCACGCGCGGCGCCCGTGCGTGCAGCACACTGCTACCGCGCTGGGAACAGGTAATTAAATGAAATTAACTTCCATTCAGATTTTAGAGGTCCCGTAGTGGAAATTCGTGAAACACATATTAATATGTACATATGGAGGTACCTAATATTCGTATATATGCACCTCTAACAGGACTTGAACCAGTGACCTAACGTAAAGACAGTTAATCGGAGGTGCCACATGTCAAATAGTAATTAATATATTTATAGTGATTAATTATTATGGTTCTTTTGAAGATAATTATTAAGGTTTAAACAAACCTGTAGCAACCATATTGAGCCGCGGCCGAATAACACAGAGCGTCATTTAACTGTGTGGAGAGAAACGGGTCAGCGCCGTGCGATAGCAACAGTTGCACCAATTCTAAGTTTCCGACGCCGCAGGCCATCTGAAATGAAAAAAATAATTCTTATATAAAGAAAATATTCTTATAACAAAATTCGCTAATTATTTAATAGCTTTTATGAATATAAACGAATATACCGATTGTGGAAGCTAAACAATTTTATACTGTGTAGTCAATAAAAATGTGTACTTCTTTCTAGAACAACATTCACCAGTCTCGATGTTCTGTGTATATAAGTAAAAACTCTTAATCATAAAATATAAATAATTACGCACAAAAGAGGTTTTTACCATATTTTTAAATATGAACGTTTTTTTTCTATTATTTTCGAATTTACGGTATTTCGCTATTATTACCCCCTTTGGTAATGGCTCTGAAGTGCCATTTTATTTATTTAATTGTCTTAATTTGACTACAGAATCTTCCGGCGATTTATAAGAAACACCTACCTACTAAACTTGAGCAATGTTGTTGTAATCTTAGTAAAATGGCTATGTGATACGAACAGACACACATGACTAAATTGTAAAAGTTCCGTTTTTGATTATGGTCTACGGAACCCCAAAAATCCTTTAAGTACACACTTGCAAAGGCGTGAGCGTGCAGACGTCGTCACCGCGCGCCGCCGCGCCGTCCACGCGCGCGCCCGCCGCCAACAGCCGCCGCGCCACCTCCACGCCGCCGCCCGCGCCGCTGCACGCGTACACTAGCGCCGTCCAGCCTGACACAACGAACAATTTCTAAATAATAACAACACTTACATATAAAAATATATACCATTCAAAGATTCAAGACCGGTCTCGTCTCAGGAATTTGACGGATATGCTGCAAAATACATGGGTTGTCAAAAATTGCCAAAAACATGCAAGGGATCAAAAATAATATTTTTATGGTGAAAGGGATCAAATTAAAGTCACTTAATACGTAGGTATTACTACGGTCTTACGTATACAATAGAAATTCTTACAAACACATTTCATTGTCACTCTTTTACCTATTATTTCCACATTTTGTACAACAAGGATAGGTTTGGCAGTAAACAAGAGAAGAGATACCTATTCAACCAATATGCATACCAGCAGTAGGTGGCGTGTAGGAGGGCGCGGGCGCGGCGGGCGCGGGCGCGGGTGCGGGCGCGTGCGCGTGCGAGGCGCGCGGGGACAGCAGCGCGCAGTGCGTGGCCGCCGCGCCCGCCGTCTCGATGTTGGGGTCCGCGCCCGCTTCTAGCAGCATCTGCGTGTATTAATGGAAATGCTTGATTTATTGTTACAATTATTTAGGATCAAATTTACAAATAAAATTGTGTGTTGTCTTCTTGTTTGTTTTCATTATTAAAGAATCTAAACCTTTACTACAGACAAAACTATAGCACACTCTTTATTATTCTTAAAAAGCAAGATTACTTACAGCGACAACTTGTTCATCCCCAACCAACGCAGCTTTCATCAGCGCAGTCAAGCCAGTAGCATCAGCAGCGTCGATGCCAGCGGGCGGCAGCAGCGCCCGCACGCCGCCCGCCAGCTCGGCGCGGCCGCTGAGCAGCGCCCGCTGCGCCACGCCCAGCGCCGCACGGGACAGCTCGTCGGGCGTGCGCGTGCAGCGTGACCATGCTGGCTCTATCGCTTCATCTAATCTGGAATTGGATTAAACATTTTGTTAGTATTTTTTCTATATAAATCATACGCTTAAAGTAAATTGGGATCGGTTTGGATAATGATTGATGATAAGAAATGCTTCAATTAATAAACAGATCTGGCTAAAAAGCTCCGCAAAACTGCAAGAATTTTTTTGCTAGTACAGTACTATTTTTTTATATATTTTATGTCTTACGAAATAAAACATAAGAGATAGACGTGATAGATCTACAACTACAATCGTATCTACCCATCTCTCAGTATTAGTTAAAACATTTTACGACTCAATAACAAAAAACCCAAGAGTGCACGCACGTGACCGGCCTGGGCGGGCAGTCGGCGTGCGGCAGCAGCAGGCGCGCGGCCTGCAGCACGTCGTCGGCATCGGGCACGGCGGGCGGCGGACGCAGCGCGGCGTGCGCGCGCGCCACGCGCACCCACTCGCCCAGCGGCGGCAGCGCGCCCGCGCCGCGCTCGCCCCACAGCCCCGCGCCGCACGCCGCCGCGCCCGACGCGCCCGACGCGCCGCTCGACGTGTGCTCCAACTGTAACAGTCAACATTTAAATTATATTATACTAGCGGCTCACCTTCGTTTCGCTCGAGCCCGCTGCTAGGAAAACGAAAACAAACCTATCCCACGGGAATTCCACGTACATTCTTAGGGATAAAAAGTAGCCTATGTGTTATTCCAGACTATAATAATCTATCTCTTTGCCAAATTTCATACAGATCTGTTCAGCCGTTCTGGTGTCAAAGAGTAACAAATATCCATACTCACAAACTTTCAAAATAAAGTTGTTATATATTTCAAAATATTAGTAAAGTTCATATGAGAATTGATAGAGAATAGAACACACATGATCTATTTCTAAAACTAATCTAACTAATAGGATGACACGCGGTGTTCTTGCTAGGCAAACGCGAACTGAGCTTAATCGAATATATTTTTTAGGATGTGTCTTATAAAAATGTAAGGTTTAAAAAATTAACAGTTGCACTGTGCAGAATGAAATGGTCATAATATTAATTTTAGAGTGCCATGTATTGAAAAAAATCAAAATATTAAAAAAAATTAACTTGAAAGTAACCACACTATTTACAAAAAAAAAAAACTTAATGAACACAGATGATAGTTGACACCCAATGTGATATAACAAACAGCGTACCTGCGAACAGCGCATGAAGTAGTACAAGGCGCGCTCGGCGCCGGGCGCCAGCGGCGGGTGGCGCGGGTGCACCTGGCGCAGCACGGCGCGCAGCTCGCCCGCCGAGCCCGCGCACGTTGTCAGCAGCACGGACGCGCCCGACGCTGCGGACGCTGCGGACCCGCCGCTATTGTTCGAGCCTGCTGATGCGCCTGATCCGCCTACATATATGAAACGAAGTATTAGCTAAGAGTTATTTGCACAAGATTAATGACTAAGTATAGAAAGTATGTAAGTATAAGGTGTTCCGTTCTAAATGTCGGACTAACCAAATAACGAACAGTAGCCAGCCATCTGCGCAAGTGATATTATTGTGCCATCTTTATTCCTTTTATTTTCATTGTTCTGAGGACTATGGAATGTCATACTCATTTAATTGCAGGCGGATATATTATATCATATTAGAATAGTTTTATAAAAAGTTAAAGTTGGTTGTTGTTGTTCAATCGTAGAAGAGAGACATGATGTAGATCTTTCAAAGATCTATAAATGCGTAGTACTTTTGATTTTTTGTACGAATTTTAACACACATAATAAAATTTAGAGGCATGATCTTGTACGTGTATTGATACACTAGTTTCTATACTATAAAAATGAGAACTGAGGAAGGGATTATGAAAAATTCATCTACTATTAGTGAAAGTTTGTATGGAAGTTCATTATTTTTTAATTTTGCGGGAAACCATATCTTGCACACGGCTAGTAATATTACGTAGTTACACAATCAAAACAGAAGTACATAATACTCACTGGACCCATTAGTGGTGATGCCAGAATCATGACTCATTCCGAGCTGGCGCTGTTCAGTCCGTGGACCGCCGGGAGATGAACCGGAGCCTAAAGAGCTCATTGACTCCCATCTTGAGAGTGATAGAGCTCCTATAGGAAAGAGTAAGAAGAAGAAAGATATTACTTTTTGAAAAACATATTTTTAGACCTTATAGCATGTGTAATGTACATTGTACATGCATAGTCGTTGAAATTAGTATACGAAATCATTGCAGGCAGTATGATTATTTATCATTTTTTTATTATTATAAAGCTTGTGAACTACAGTAGTGGTATACCTGAAGCGATTCTTCCTGCATTGAGGTGGCTGTAGGGCTGTAACAGACCCCACAGGTCGGCTGTATTAGCAACGGCGTGGTCGATGGCGGCGGGCGTGACACTAGCACCCCCCGTTCCTGCTGCACTCCCAACACCCGCCGCACCCCCGGCACCCCCTGGCGCACCCCCCGCGCTGCACCCCGCGGCTGTTAGCGCTATCTCCTCCAGGAGTGTCTCCATGCCGGCGCATAAGTAGATCGCTGCGTATCTGTTTGTAGAAGTGTTCATTAACAGACTGGTACATTGTTCAATTAAGTTCTGGCAAATTGAGAAATATGTATAGTATATGCACTCTGCTCTACGTTGATGTAACTAATAATTAATATAATAATAAATAATGAGCAGAATAAGCAGAATGGCATGAAATAAATGTACTTACAAAATACATATATATATATATATATATATATATATATATATATATATATAATGTTACAAATTAAAAATTAAATAAAAAAAATTTAAAAGTGCCTAATCTAACCTAACACTTTTAAACATATAAAGCATAAAACTGCCGTATCGTAAGCTACATTTGCAAATATATAATATAGGACTGACTCGTGCACGAAGGGCGCGACGCGCACGTCCAGCATCCAGCGCTGGAAGCGGCCGGGCGCCAGGCCGGTGCGCGCGCGCGCCGCCGAGCCCAGCCGCCGCGCCGCGCTACCCGACGTCGCGTACATCGTCGCCGCGCGCTGGCAGCCCTGCCGTATGACATATTTACATTTGCGATGCATTTATTTTAGCTAATATACATATACAGTTATTCGTAGAATATTATGGTAAATAGATTAAATTATAAATTTATGCGAGTGTTCATAATATTTAATATAAATAATTTTTTGAGCATTTGTAATCAAGTGAATGAAGGTCGGTTTCAATGGATGATTGTTGTTAATTTATTGAATAAGATATGTTATAAATAAATAAATTGATAAAAATTCTATCTATTTTATACGTACAACTCTTATTTAATTCATATATTACCTTAATGCAAGAGTCTGCGAGCTGAGAGCTGAGCACGATGCGGAAGGCCCCGGCGACCTCGTGCTTGGAGCAGAAGCCGAAGTTCTGCGACAGGCGCTGCGCCTCCCGCGCTATCCGCACTAGCGCTCTGTGATAAGTGATAGCAAACGTATATTAAAACCATATCTCTTAACACCTCGCGGTTAATTTCTAAGAAATTCATTGTTTTCCGAGCCACCTGTGGCTCGGCAGTCGCTTACAGGTTATCACCTACAGGTAGGTAAATTTCTAAGAAATTAATTAATTTTCTAAGGAATCTATTGTTAACTGTAACGCCGGCGTTTCCGCGGTCGTGGATGGATTAAATGATTGAATTCGTGAGAGTTTTTACTCCAAATTAATTTTAGTATATATACATTTTTTACTAGCGACTTACGTCAGTTTCACACGTATGTACATATAACACCATGCCGTAGTCTGTTTACTATCATCATCATTCATAATTTCATCTACATCTGTCCAGCCTTTTCAGGGTGAAGGAAGCAAACATACACACATATAAACATTAACATTTATAGGAGTAATCCGACTAGTTGAATTCCTAAAAACGCCAGTTGGCCCTCTAATATTTTCTTACTACAGATTGTCTCGTTTTTTATTTGTATATAACTATGAAAATCAAGAATTTAAATAGCAAGAATAAGCGAGTGCGTACGTGTTGCCGCGTAGCTATTAAATCTATTTAGGTATATTATTCATTCATAGCCTCTGCAGTCTACAGACTCTACACCCATAAAAAACCTTTCACTATGAAATCTTTCGTAATTAAAACATTTTAAGCAGCGAGGTTAACGCACCTTAGAATATTAAGTGATCTTATAACTGTGCTGACTACGTAAACTACATACGTTGCGGATTGTAGTTAATATTACTACCAAAACAAAAAAAGCATGCCCGCATAACTTCACTCGGTTAATCTAGTTTCAGAGCTAAAATCATTTCTCATCTTAAAGTTTCTAAATAAATTCTTATTCTTTTTTCTTCAAAATCGTAAATTTCTTGTTCACATCTCCAACTTTACTAAACTGATATTAACATCTCGCCACACAACTCAGAACACTGTGTTTGTTCAGGCTAAATTCATAAGCTACTGTACGCATTTTCATGCGGTTTTCACCAATAGAAACAGTGATTACCTAGGAATATTTTAGGCTATAATTTATAAAAAAACATCCGAGCGATAATTGATCGCTAGTCCAAAATAAAAATATTAACTTCGTACATTATTATATAAACTAAACTTATTTCCAACCTGATAATACTTTCTTAGTTTTACGCGCATATTTATTCGAATTTTTTCCCAGATTTATTATGATTTTTTTTCCCGACGTTTCGAGTGCTTTACAGGAATCGTGGTCACGGGAAAGACTGAGGTGTTATGTGTCTCAAACGTCAAAATAATCGTCATAATAATTGGAATATATAGTTTTATTTTAAATTCCAAACTGATCCCAACCTCTGTAACAAGTAGGCCAGCCGCGGCGGCGCGTCGGGCGCCATGCGGCTGGTGAGCTCGCGGCAGCGCCCCGCCTGCAGCGCGCGGCTCACCTCGCTCGGCGTCCACGGCACACAGCGGAGCTCGACCAACCTGTTTCAAAGAAGTGATCAGAACATATCACTGCCTCGGTGCTCTAGTTGTCGTAGATCCGGAGGTCCTGAGTTCCAGTCCCGAGTCGCACTAACTTTAATTACTGAGTTTATCAGTTAAGATATTCTCAGTTGTAGCCCGGAGTTAGGAAGTTGACTATGTTCCACTCCCGTACGTCGGAGAGCACGTAAGGAGATCGGTCCTGCACCGGTATCAATGTGTCATCACATTGGAATATGAGTACACTATTATATCTCCTGCCCATCTGGCAAGTCTCAGTAAGATTAGCCGCCGTGACCGAACACAGTCGGGAGGATATTATATGCAATACAAGCTTCATTCAATTTCCAAGCACTTTTAATTTAATTTAAAAACATCAAAGTCAGTCTATGAGAACTCTATCATCGACTTGAAATGTAATTTTGCTGATATCATATGATTTTATGTAAACAAAACAAGAAAAAGAACGCAAAATATAATACATATAAATATATAATATATACCTATATACACAATAACCACATAGTACGAAGAAAAACGTAAAGAATAAAAACTAAGTACATATAAGTATTGTAACTTACTTGTTATTTCTCGTCACCATCACTTGAACTTTGTTAGGAGTATGTATTATTATAAATAAATAAACTATACATTGAAGTCTAGACAGGTCACACTTCACAGAAACCGCTAGCCACTAAGGAAGTTCTGTCCGTAGGGCAATACTTTCCTTTGAGCGGACGAGAAATATAATTTATTCATATATATTGTTCTCGTATTGAATATAAATTCATGCGTGTTCTATTCAATTATTATAACGAACACGCTTATATATTTTTATATGAGGATGCATTTTTCATATAAAACTCAATTTTTCTCGTACTATTCGTTTAGATAGAAAAACGTTTCATAAACAAATATATAAGTAAAATACCTATTGTGCGAGTCCACCCACACAAATTCGTCAGCACTAGTGACGTTGGTGCACACCGTGTCGAGGGACGGCTGGCGCACTAGCGGCGCGCGACGGCGGCGGGCCTCTGCCGCACTGCCACTCTCTGAAACAGTTAATTGAAATAATTAAGCAAAATTAAATGTATTTTTAACAGGTAGATTTATTTCGGTGTCAGTGACATAGGCTTTATTTTATTTTTTCCCAGCGGATAAAAAAAGCTTCTGCATAATAGGAAGAAGAATGGTTTAACCGATTTTAATACGACTTTCACAATCGGAAATAATTAACTAGCAGCGGAGTTAATTAGTCTGTATATAGTCATAAAAATATTGGCTTATTGATAAATTAAGTAAAACCTATTATAAAAATAAATTATAGTAAAGAAACATTTTTAAAAACAAGCTTTTATTTAAATGCTCTAAAAAGAATAAATATTAAATTAAATGAAAATTCCCTTTCATTTGATATCCATATCATAAGAGTCACTATGGAAATGATAAATCGCCATTTTGTAACTTCCGCCATATTAGATTAAGAATGGCAGTATTTAAGTAATCGTGCAGAGTATCAGGAACCAAACTAGTGTGCAAAATTTCAGCTCAATTGGACACTGGGATATAGGTCAATATTTAACTTGCAAGATTCCATTAAACAGACCCGGGCAAGTGAAACTAAATAAAAGCTTGTAAAAAGTAAAATGTTATATACAAATAGATAAAGAAATAGACGCAACCTAACCTGGTGCTCCATTATTACTGCCACCTCCCGCACTGGACGCTCCGCTGGTGGCCGTGCTGCTGCTGTCCCGCGACCGGAGCGTCAGTTGTTTGATGGCTGACCTGATATCCTCGAGACCGCCCCCGCCCGGCCACGGAGACTGTAACTGAGAAATCATTATAGAATTTATATTGTTTATGTTATTCACTTGTATAATTATTATAATTCACTTAAAGTTAGTTGAGACATTTGAAGAAGGGTAGATATTTGACAGCACCAAAAATTGTAGGTAGGTATACATGGTATGACTTTGATTTTATGAATTTCACGCTTCATACCACATTAAGTAGGGTTCATTCAAGGGTTAAAAAATGTCTTTATCCGTTGCCGTTCGCTCCGTCTTCCTCCTGTCTTACTTTAAAGGTATCGTTTGATTTTTTAGAGACTGCTGTCTAGTTGAATAATATTAATTTATATTAGGTATACTTATGTATGGAGAGTGAGTCCCCACACCCCATAAAAGAAACGTTAGAATTCTCATGTTTTTGGTCACTTAGTTAATACATGTATGCGTCAAAATCGAAAGTGATAAATATGTATAGGTAAGTCATTTGGCGCTCAAAGGACCTGAAATGTTACCTGAAAAGTTTTCCGGATTATTGAAAATTAATATTTTTATAGATTTCAATGTGCAATTTCCGGAATATTAAGAGACGTAGGTACTCCGGTCTCAAACCTTATTATGTGGTCGATGCTTCGTCCTAGCGTGAGGGAGTTGCCTAGTTCTCCGCGGCTCATCTCTGCCGGCGTCACCTCCACCGCTGTCCGACATCGACGCATGTCCTGACGATCTGTTCTCATCAGAACTACTGTTGCACTCTCGTACACCATTCTGCAAAGAGATTTATATTTTATTCAAATACATAATGGATTAAAAATGATTCTGTTGAGCTATTTGTATCATACACCGTTAAGGAAGGATTTAGTGATATGAATGATTTATTCAATATATATACACTAAATGTTAATGTAGCATGGTTTGCCTCAATAGGACAAAAACTCTTAAGTGTTATTCAAATATAAAATAGCCATCTTTTCTTAATAGCAATTATAAAACGAGCTTAATCTATAAATTATTACAGGATAGAGTTAGACTGTTCTTAGAAGGCTACGGTATTTTTATAAATAGTTATCGGAATCCACTTAGCTGTTTTGGGTTATGTCTAATGGCACGTGTAGGCTAAAATTTCTGAGAATATATTTTGTCTTATATAATTTGATATCTTAATTCCTAGAAAAGTATTCATGGAAATATTTCAATATTTTATATATATCATTTATCCTTAGACTATTTATAAGCGTTTATCTTATATTCATAGGTTAGAAATTGCCATAATTTATTAATTTTTGGTTTTAGTGTTGTATAAATAAGCATTATAATTATCATTAGAATGAATACGATACTCTTCCGTTTTATTTATAGGTAATTATAACGACTATATTTTTATCATTTATTCACTTTTGCGTTTTAAATATTTGTATCGATACGGTTGAGGCGGATGGAAAAAATTCAACAAGTCGCGTCTTTATATGTCATCTCCAATGTTTCTTTTTTAGAATTTTATCTCGCTATCGCTAGTGACGTGTTCCTGCATGCACTAATGATGACAGGCAGGTAGTCGCGTGTTCATTAACGATGTCGATGTTTGATAGCTTTACAATGTTTATATCCTCTAACATGGTCAAGACGAGATTGCTAGCATGATTCGAAAATCTCGAGGTACTGAAATTAAAATGATTCTGTTTCAAAATGTTGAGCAAAATGTTGATGTAATAAAATAATTGTCCGTTTGTGAGTTTCTTGATAGAAATTAGTCAAATTAATAGCCTGTGTTTTGGAGGTAGCTAGTTCCCAGGTAATAATACTATATTTTGCATTTATCTTAAACTACTGTTGAAATAATTAAAGGATTAGGATGCTGATACAAAATGCTGATACAAAATGAAACTTTACAAGCATTTTTGAATCGCTTTTTTTAGAAGTCATTAGTCTGTCGAAAACCTTTGATAGACTGAAAATATTTATGCTAACAGAGTTAATAAATAATGCTCGGCCAACAAATTCTTGAATATTCGCATCCTTGCAAAAGTGGGAGTCCCCGTGAGATAACAATTCTCAATTTTTAATAAAGTATAATAATTTGATATGTATCCGATAACAAATATATATTTTTTTATTTTTTTTTATTATATATAATTTATATATTTCTAGCCCATGAGTGATCACCGCATATGCATAATTAGGGTACGATCAACATCCACCTGCCCAAAGTGTACTAAATTGAGTCATCAATGAACTAAAAAATTATGAAACGTGACATCTGATGCTACTAGCATTGTCAATGCAGCTTTCGCTTTCAGTCTCGTAACTTCCCACCCATTACGCTTTTCCCTATCAAGAGATCGTGGGAATCCGTTAAAAACAATGCTTATATATTTTTTAGATAACACTTTCGCTATTACGCTCGGGTAATTTTTGTAATCGCAGTGCGTTCACTAATTAATGAGATGCGAACGAAGTTGATGAATGGCTTCAAGAAAAACCGTCAGTGCCGGTTCTGATACAGTTAGCTGTTATTCTAAAGTAACATTTAATGTTATACATTTTTCATATTATTCAAATCATAAGTTGAATGAAATAGCATAATCTTTTTTGTGCCTGGAAATTAAATATTGGTGATTTATATATATATATATATATATATATATATATATATATATATATATATATATATATATATATATATATATATATAATAAAAGTCTAACTGATCGCTGTCTGTACATGGAAGATATTTGAGAAAAACTATTATTGGGGGTATTTGTTAACGCAATAGAATCCAAAACAAAGATTTTTATAATTTTTGTCTGTCTGAGCTTTTGTGCGCGCTAATCTCAGAAACGACTTAACCGATTTGGGTGCAGTTTTCTCTAATGTATTGTAGTAAGCTTCACTTAAAATTTAGTATTTGTTTTATTTCAATCGGTTTATAAATAAACAAGTTATGGCAATTAAAAGAACCACCTAGGGACGAACGCGTGCGAAGCGGGGGTGAGTCACTAGTGATTAAATATTTTCGATTGCAATTAATGACTCTACGAGTAGAATTTATCATGATGAGCAGATAAATATAACCAAAGTCCTAAAAGTCTTTTGGCCATTTACGATTTATTTAGATAGACCTGTGCTAAAAGTAAATTAATATTAATATACGAATTTAAAAATTTCAATGCCGATTGACAAGCTACATGTCTTCTTTAAAGTCTGGAATATTACCTAAGATTTTCACTATATGTAAGGACATGATTCAGAAATGTATGTTGTATAGACTCAGTTATTATTATTATTATGTTACAATAATTTAAGCAGCAAGGATAGAATATGTGGTTATTATACACTAACCGTGTCAAATAAAATTTAATATCTCTCTCACACGCAGATCAAACGCAATTCTGTCCCGTAATATTGGCGTGCGCCGGCGCACTCGACTACTCGTTACGAATTGACTCGATATCATAAATTTATTGAAATACGGTAATTAATAGCATTGATATAATTCAAAATAGTTCGAGAATCGAGTACCTACTATTTGTAGGGTATGTTATTGAAACAGTATATTATTTTTATTAGGAAATATTAAAGCTACTTTCACCAAAATTCATAATTTAATTTATATTTTGCAAATTTCAAACAGACACATCATCATACAATCTGACATTAACGGCATGACCTCTTACATAGCTCTAAAATGAGCTTTCGCTCGCTTTAAAATCGCTACATTTCTACATGTAAACAAACAAATACATTGTTATTTCTCTTTGAATTTGAATTGTTATAAAATTTAAAATTAAATTGTCAAAATGGCACTCCTAGTAGTCATTGAACAAAAGAATTAAATTAAATTAGCTTTTGAATTTTATTTATTAAGAATAAATTCAACCATACATATATCAAGAATAATTACCATCCAGCGTTTTTGAACATTTCTATATCAATATTTCAAGCAAATTCGATTAGATATAGATCTTTTGTTTATATGTAAGTACTAAAAGGAATTTATCGCTATGCTATGATAGTTGTCGCAAACTAAAATAGATTTCAATATTAAGATTTATTTTAATATTATTCATGTCAATGAATAAATTACGACCCATTTTAATACGAAACTAATGTAGATCAATTTAATACTCAGATACCGATTTCAATCAGCAATTTGCTACAAAGTAGCGGGCTTGGTTAATTTGTAGGTGTGGTGCAAGAGGTGCTTGCTTGCATGTACGTGACCATCCTATGAGAGACTTTTAAGTTTTTGTCTTTTTGTTATTATTTTAAAGACATTGTACTATTATGTATATGAAATTAAAAAATAGATAAGTATTTAGCCCTTTCAACGTTAACAAATTAGGTAAAAGATTAGAGATCTGTATATTTCAAAAGTAAGCTTACACTATTGTAAAGTACTAAGGTTTGTATAATGTAATTATTTTTTGTTTATATTATGTTGTAAATTCTAAACTTACTGAATCGATTGTAAAAATGATTACACAAATAGAAATGATAACTTCTGATAAATATAGCCTATTTCAAAGTTTCACGCAAGCGGAGCCTCGGACCGTAGTTGATAACAAGTGAATTTTTTTTTTAAATTTCCCAGATGCCCAGAAAAACAGAAAAACCATTCTTTTACTCAAGGAAAAACACATAATTCAGTATGATTAATACACATGTTTAACACCGAAAATTCATGCCACGGTCTCATGATTAGATAGATCATAATCATTATAAAAACATTTTTAATCAACAATTGGCTAAGATATCTAATAAACACACAAAAAAAATACACCAAATGAGTACTCGAGATCGATTTAAAACAGTAATAGTACCTGTATGGGGGCAGTTTCAACAGGACGGTGTTCATGCTTCGTCCTCCTTTCCAGGGCATAGCTGCTTTGTACTGGGGCACTTCGTACTGGAGAGCTGGCGACAGTGATTTGTGACACCGCCGACACCGGCTTCAGCTGAGCCCCGCTGGGGGTCTCTGGTGATGTCGGAGGTTGATCTTCTATATTTGCTGTGATAAAAACATTATGATTAAATTATTTTGTATACAAACCGATACTTATACTTAATTCTTATTTGATTTACTCAAGTCGTTAAGGAAGAGGGGAATTGGACTACATTTGCATTTGTGTGTTACTCCTGCACGTTGAAGCCGCTGGATACATTTCGATAAAATTTTGTACATAAGTATACTTTGATCTGGAGTAAGATATATAGCATATAATATATAAGGGCATAACTTAGTAATAAAATTTTCTAGCCCCACCTGTGTATAATTTTATTATTCCAAAAGGTTCTAGAGACGCACCAAAGCGAAAAAAGTGTATGCCACTAGTATATTATCAATCCAAAAATATTGTTGTTTGCTCTTTGCTCGCAGCAATTTTTTTAATTAAAATTTTATTTAATTCAATTTCAAAACAGCAATCCAGCCGGAAGTGAAGAAACGCACTAAGGAGGCGACCGGGACATATCTCAGTAGGTATATAAAGTGTATTTCAATAAATGGGGTTTCGTAAAAGTCTATTTAGATACATTATTTGAACTATATATAATGCCATGGATATTCGACTCTACATATTACGAGTACATTTACTTTGACAACTTTTAAGTGAAAGCTCGCTTCCGGCTTTTCTATGTTTCACATAATTTATGTGTGTCATTTGTAACTGAGATTAAGTAATTTAATATTGACCTTACAATGTATGTATATACGTATAAAAGAAAAGCATATGTACGTATCTAAAACTTTAACATTCAACAGTGACTTTAAATAATTTCTCTATGATTCTCCTTTTTAGACATATGAATTTGACACAATTTTATGTCAAATGTCTGTCTTTAGTAAGGAAGACCACATCCAGACAGGTCATTGGGACACGCTGTAAATCGAAATTGAAAATATTCCTACATTTTATCAAAGACAAGAACATAAGCAAAATATAAATTGCCCGTAGTCGGTTAAATTCGTCACTACAGTAATATTAATAAATAAGGAATCAAAGCCGCCGCCATATCTTGTAGTTAATATATAAAAGTCTTGATCTGTAGGTCTGTCGCATGTAAGTGATTGCTACATGGCGCAGATCCCTATATGGGCCCATTCGCTATGCGAGTACACGCAAGTGGCTTTATGTTTCCTTACAGAAACATGATTTTAATTAATATTAAGTTGGAGATGACAGTTTTATTAACTCGTTTCTTATTTTAATTTAATCATAAATTTTATCTTTGAGTCCACCCATCGCTTAAGTTGTTCTATAAAACAAGCTTTTACCAGTGGCATTGATCTGGCTTCTGATCTTTCTTAGGACAAGTGGTAATCATATTGAAAAATTATTCACACATGAACATATCAGAGGTGCGAGACCCGGGATTTGAACTCGCTTCACTTGATTTCCCCGCCTTTTGCCATAAAACCAAACTAAAAATTATTTTAACATATTAATGTTATAATTAACTAACTCAATGTTTTTCTAATGAAGTATAAAGTTTTTTACATCGACATAATTACTTTGATTAATTATTATTTGCTTCTTATCGAAACTATATTAAAAGTGCACTATCATAAAAAATACGTAATGAAGAAAAAAAAATTTAGTCGAAATCTTTGTTAATTTCATAAAATACGTAGATAAGTGAATGCAAAACGTCTAAATAATACTTAATGTTCAAGTTACATTTTATAGAAGTATTGCATTATAAAGTTTTTATTTATAATGTATTATGTATAGGTAATTCCCAAGGAGGGTTGACGTCAGGCAGGCGGCCGGTCGTAAACCTTGTGCCAAACCCTTTCAGCAGTATAGAAGATGTACTGCGCCGACCCTAACTGATTGGGAAATGGGCAGGGAGAAGAAGAAGATGTATAGATAATATCATTACGTATTAAGGATTCAATATTTTTTAACTTTAATAAATATATTATGGTTAAAATATAATTTACATTTTAAATTCCATGGTAATTATAACACTTCATCACTTTCGATCTAGAGACGACATCAGATTCCCATGAGATTGCAAACATTGTATTAATTTATAGCTAGAGTTCACTTTCCTAATAAAAACTGAGAAACCGACGAGATGGAAAGCATCAATCATTGAATAAGCTTGGGAAATCTCCACTGTTTTATAGATAGTTTGTAAAGTGTATAATGAAAGTGACATTCTGTTATTATTGTTCACTACCGACTCACCCTCGCTCCGTTCGGGTTCGTCTTCGTCGTTATTTAAAAAATGAGGAGGGCGTAGGAGGGTGAAAAATACTGGGCCTATTCTCATACCTACCAAATATACAAAAAAAAAACATTAATATCGGTCGAGCTGTTTCGGAAGAGTGCGATCACAAACAACGTGACACGAGATATTTACATATTAAATTAAAATCACGACTATATTTTTATTTTTTATTTACTTTTGAATTTTAAATATTTATCTCGATACGATAGAGGCAGATGAAAAAATCGTTACGTTTTAAAGTTTAGTATAGATTTCTCAGAGATGAGATACTTTTCCGCAGTAAAAAGTATCCTATATTTTGACCCGGATAACCAGCTATCAAACCATACCAAATTTAATGAAAATCTTTAAAATGATGTTCTTGTGATGTGTTCCCAGACAGACACAGACAGACAAAAATTCTAATAACTGTAGATTCGGCCTCTGTATCGATAATAATGACTATTTCAATAATATTATCCAAAAAATATTTATTGTACAGATTCGACTCAGAATTTTAATGTCTATTGTCTGTACTTGCGGCTCAAGTTTCATCTAAGTTTTATTCTAAAATTAAAATCCAAATATCATATTTGAAAAAAAGGCTGTTATAGCAACGTCCGATAATCGGTTGAATAAAAAATATATTATTCGTCTGACTATTGTTGGCTTGTACGAATACCTTCCACTTTTTTGTTTTCTAATGTAAAATGAGTGATTTTTAGGTGCAGGAGTTTCTATGTATGTACCTATATGCAAAAAAAACCTTAACCTTCCGAGCTGAAAACTTAATCTTTTACATGAGGTTAAGTTCAAATGTTTTTATGTGAGAAAAAAGACAAGTGTCCTAACCTACGCATCTAAAATGGATTTTATTAGGAGAATATTATTGCGTCATAATAAAACAAGATAATTCTAACCTATCGGGCGATAGAGATAAAATTGGACGAATTATAATATATTTTTTAGTCTTCCGATTATTGGACGTGTAGGCACTTCCAAAATAAAAATATATGCATTTTTGCCACAGATGATGTACAAAAAGTACGAATATATTTATAATACGTCTGCAGACAAAACTGCAGAAAGAAGCTAGTGTCGAATAAAATTAAACAATTATGACTATTTAGAAAATTTTGCGGCATTACTTTGAGTATTCTATGCATGAATCTTAAAGATTACATCTAATGATAGCCTGTTATGGTCTAATTCCGGAGATGCTTCGACGAAATAGCTGGCTTCTGTTGGACCGTTGTTCGCTCAAACACATGTAGATAATCGTAGGTGAATGGAATTTGCGTAAATTTATGTCATTATATATATGAATAACTCGTTAATAATTTTATATTCAACTCTTATCTCTCTTCCATTATTTAACTTCTTCTTCCAAAACTACTACTAACCATTCACATAAGTCAAATTGTTTCTAGATTTTTTTATTTAAAAACTTGATGTTTACAAACAATAATTATGTATCTATTATATAATATTATTATTTATATAAAACTAAAGATTTTTTGTTAATTTGTTTGTTTCGACACGCTTATTTCTGATACCGGCTATCCAAGATGAAAAAATATTTTTGCATTGTATACGTAGTCTATTTATTAAAGAAAGTCTAGATCTAAAAGACTATCTATCCCGCTACGAGTTAGACCCTTAAGACCCACGGGAAAAAGCTACGAGTGTAAACTCACTCTCGCTCGTTTCGCTCGGGTTTGTCTCTAGGTACATTTTATCCTTAGTACCTTGCTTATTATTTAGTTATTAAATAATTTACGCGTAAATAAGCAAAGATATTATCGTAGCTGTTGTGAAGTTCTTATATTTCACAGAACACCTTCGGCAAGGTGCGCACTTACCTATTTATTTACTGACATAGAACGGCTAATGTTACACTCGGAAAAGAACATTCTATGTATAATTCATATAAGTTTTACGTTACGTGAGATACCTAATAGTTTCCTGTTTTTTTTTCCACTTTTCCTTAATTAACCTCATATATCTATTAAAAATAATAGATTAACGAATATTTATCTAAGATTATATACTCCTAAGTAGGATAAATCTACCATATCCGATATCAAAATAGCGACAAATCCTTTAAAGGTTAAACTACATCTATAAAAACAATATAAAAACTTTTAACAAAAAATAAAAACCGACTTCCAGGCACTAAAATGTAAAAAATAACTAAACGGAGGTTTTTTATTTAGAATAGATATCTAATCAGATATTTTCGAAGTCGGCGCCGGTGCAATGTATCAACTATCTGGTATCCATAACATAAGCCTCATAGCTTACCATGGAACTAGATAGTGCTGTGTGTTATTGTCCTAACATATTTATTATTTATTTATTTATAACAAAGTATAAATTGGTTTATCATAATAGGATCATAATATAATTGTTCAAAAACTCCGCTATAATGACACATTCGATCAATATTAGAACATGAAACCTTTTATATATAGGACTGTTAGACGCATGAACAGCGTATACTTAGTACCTAACAATTCTCCACCTAGATTCTATAGGTATTGGGTATAGATAACGGTATTCTAAAAGCTATGTTTATTTACCTATAATCACCTAAACTAAGCGATTGAGATCTAAAGTGGAAAAAAATAGAAAACTAGTATACAACTTTAGTGACGTATGCTTGGCAGGTGGTTCCGTGAAGTGATTGGTTACGTCCGTTAAGTAAAACAATAATCAGTATTAGGTGGTACTATGCTTGTTTCCAAGCTAATGGTTTTTGCTCGTAGAATTTTGAAAGGTTTCTGGACGAATGAAGAAGAATCTGGAGTGACATAAGTTTGACAGGTTCCATGGGGGTAAGCCATTGGTCAATTATTAATATTCAGTTCAAACATTCTCATAAAATCAGAATTATAAGTTATTAAATAAAACTATTGTTACGCGGATTTATTATGATTTTTGGTTCCCGACGCGATGTTTCGAATGCTTTACAGCTTGCAGCAATCTAGGTCTCGGGAGAGACTAAAATCTTAGAGAGTAATTATATAGGTAGTTGTTACAGATAGTGCCTACCTACAGAATTATACAATTTTTCTGTAAACACAAAAAATGGTACAGAAATACCTTATATTATTTATTTAATGTTTGCTGCAATTATTATGAATCCGCGAAAGAAAAAGCAAAAAAATAGTTTTATTTAAATAGTCAAATATTCACGTAAATCTAAGAATGTATTAGAGTTAGTAAAGTTAAGTAAAGCAATAATCAGAATTAGGTAATCTATTCTAACAACATACGTTTAGCAGGTGGGTCGGTGGGGGGCGGCGGGGTGGTGGCGCGGTACGCGTGCGGCGGGGGCGACAGGCGCCGCGCGTGCGCCGCCGCCGCGCCGCCCACGCGCACGCGCAGCGCCCGCGCGCCCGACACGCTGGCGCACCACGTGTCCTCCGGCCGACACCCGCTTGATGGCCTGGAAGAGCATGAGAAACATATAGCAAATACATGATTATAACTCTTATGTCATAAAATTATTACATTTTAACTTTATAATAGCCTAGGTTACTCTCCAACCTTACAACACAAAAAATCACGGTATTCCGTCACTCTGTTTCGACTTTCGACGTGAAAGAAGGACACACTTTGAGTAGTACAAGATATCTTAATGGGTGAAGAAACTAGATCCATAATATCTACACAGTATAAAATTAGTAGGTTGTATCGCTAGTTTTACGAAAATTAAGGCAGAAGAATCATTTATCAAGAAATATCTAGCGCCTTTAATTAGTCCTCACGGAATAAATGTGCTTTACTAGAGGCGAAGAGTCGATGGGACACTCGTTTATTATAAGCAATCAAATGTTTAATAAGGATATCAGGAATAAACATAAGAAAAATGGAGAATGGAAACAGTAAAATTAGATTTCATTAATAAACAGCAACTTTGCAATTCAATACGCTAAGCATCTTCAGGAATTAACCGGCGAGATGAGACGTGGGCGTAAAATGTAATTAATAAAATATTTCGCTACAAAACAACACTTGAAGTGTTCGAGATCAAGTACGGAAAAAGGTCAAGCGTCTGTCTGGTTATGATCTCCAGATGCACCTGCTGCGTTAAATGAAACAATATTGCGATTCAAGTTTGTTTATACAATTTATGAACAAGTTATACCCACTTGAGCTCCTTCGATCAATAATAACGATCAATTATGGCAGAAATAATATGGAGTTAGGGTTATTTTAGTTCTACTTATTGGTTAAAGCCGAGTTAAGATATAACTGCTATTTGAATTGGTTAAAGTACTTGCTTGTAATATTTTAGAATCAATAAAAGCAAATTTTTTTTTTTTTACTACTACATACTACTTTTTGGTTATTTTTCAATCTGTATTCATTCCTTACTTTTATTTTTCTAATTTTTTTTATTTAGTCAGTTTAACGGACTTTTCAAACAAACTATCCTGACTGAATGTAAAAGAGCACATGTTTCATTTCAAGACTTTTATTAGATTCGCTTTTTAAAGTTAAGTAACTTACATAGTAAGTATTATTCAAGTTAGTCTTAGTAGTAACCAAATCTTGGATATTGATTTTAATTTACAACCGTAACTTAAAATTTAACTGTCAATTCGAGTGTGAAATCCAGATTCCATCCATATACTGGGCTACCACTGCCATCTGGGTGACAAAACAATACTTCTATGCTGTCGAGTTGAGCTGATGATAAAGTGGAGGAGGAGAGGAGATCTATCTGCTGACTTCTGGATAGTGAAATTTTTAATGACTTCTAAAATCAATTTGTAAAACCTAATATAAGTTAAGAAACAAAAGTTCTAATTCTATTTACTGTTACGACGTACATCTGGTTAAACAATGGAAATGTTAAGTTTATATGCATTTCCGTCTCTTAGTTTGTCTCAGCTGCGGCTTAATTTCTTGCAGTCTACAGGGCGGAATAAATTGAAAGGTTTATAAATACAGTAGTATGATATATGCTCGGCTTCTGGGGCACTTATATGGGCATTTTATCGTTTCTGAGGGCTTAGATATAAACTAAAGATATCTAAAAATCTTTTTTACGTTAATATTTCAATAATAGGGTATACGAAGAATATAAGAATGACAATAATTTTTCAAATATCAATCTATATATACAATATATTTTGTTACTTAATTACGCCAGAACGACTAAACAGATTTAGAAGAAATTTAGTACAGAGATAGATTGTAGTCTGGAATAGCATACAGGTTACTTTTTATATAACATATAAAAATGTACAGTTCCTGTAGAATAGATTTGTTATAGTTTTTCTCTAGGGACGAACCTGAGCGAAGCGCGGGTGAGATCTGCCTCCTATTTTCACCGATTTTATCATTTGATCGAATCTGGCGAAACGTAAAAACATAGTGTAACGGTGGAACAGCAATAAAGTTCAGCTGATACCCGTTGGATGGCGTGACGAAGTTAGCGCAACGACGGCCGCGTCGAATCGCCCTAATGTCCTTCTCCAACCAACTGTTCTCTGACTTACTTTTGTTATGCTCTGCGATTGTTCGATGAAGTTCGAATTAGAAATTTTACTATTTAAAATATTTAGAAGTTTTCATACTTCTTGTAAAAAGCGCGTTCGTTGTGAGGTTGTTGCACCAGCCATCACTCAAGTCTTTCGTTTGTCGTTACTTGACCGCCTCAAAAGATGAATAATATTTTTTACATGTGACTTTACCATTAAAAATCCTTCCTTGCTCACGGGATCGGTGAATAATATCTGCCATGGTCATATACAGATATCAATACTGTCACATCATCACATGCAAGAATTCTTCTAAATAGCCTTCTCGTTAAATTATACATAATTTGTTGGCTCACTATTACAAGGTTCTATGTTACAATTTTAGTACTTATTTAGTTATGAACGCTACGTAGTTCTATGTGTCATTAGCTACAGTTTTGCAAAAACAAACCACTAGATAGTGGCACTATAACTACAAAATATTCAATTTTACCTAGTTCTATGTTGTTGTTTTTTTTACGATAACAAAATAACGAAGTTCTATGTAAAAATTACTGAACTTCATTAAAATTAACATAGAACCTTGTAGTATAATAGTATAATAGTAAGCCAACGAATTATGTTGACGAAACGAAAAAAAATATTATCGTTATAGTTATGAAGTCTAAAATAAAATAGATTCTTTAATGTATTTAACGAAATATCATCCTAAATCCTGAAATAGTATTTGTTGTGTGTCGTGTGATATTTTTATTTTTGATGACTTAGCTCCAGATCCCGTTTACTCAAACTTGTTAAAAGCACGACAAATAAGCTTTTTTTCTCATTTACTTTTTAGGAAAACTAAAACTGACTAAATCTATAAATAAAACGGGAAATCTGTTTTCTGATTCCATTTTCGGCATTAACGATAACTCTGGTGATAGGCTCTAAAATTTGTTATAATTGGTGTTTACCCAATGTTTGAAATTCCTCTATAATCATTTTTTTATTGATAACACTAAACCTCATCAATAGCTACTACACAAAAAATATTGAAAATCGGTTGACAAACAGAGGAGAAAAAAGTACTAAACTTTTGTTTTTGCTTATTTAAATATATGTATGTATGTACATATTTAGTTTGTTTTATTTCTCATCAACGTACTCGTAGAAAGCGAGCTATAAGAGGTTCCTATTTAACTAATTACATAGGAAATATATATAATGCTTAGTGATATATTAAATGCGATTAATAACGGCGAAAGAAATTGTGCATAATTTGTTACGAAATGTTAGCACTACCGGGAGGTGCTGTGTAGAATGTAACGCAGCTTACCGCGTAATCTATTACAGTATCAACAATAATATCTCCTATCCAACGTTTTTATTAAAATTGAAGGATTCATGTTAAATGACACAGCTTTCGATTCAATATGATACCTATTAAATTAATACTTTTTTATATTTAAGTAAATTTTAAAATTTAGAATGCTATCAAACTATTACCTAGTAGGGATCGAACCCGCAACACTGGCTGTATGTTGTGCGAATAAGCACCTTTATACCATACCAGACTAGGTATACAAGTTTCATATAAAATCTCAAATATTATGTTTGTAATAAAATTTAACACAAAAGCGTCAACATTAAGCTATATAATTAAGTAATTGATTTGATTGTAAACTTGGTGGCGTAGAGAAGATATAAAAACGAAAGTGGAAAAACACCTCATCACCGAGCAGGAAGCAAAAGTAAAATACGTGTACTATCAAAGTATTCATGTGAATATTGTTGTGTAACCGCAGGGGAAATGGATCGTTAAGTCGAGCGAGCTTCCTATAAACAAGTAAATTGATAAAAATGATAATATGTTAAGTAATAATCTTCATCTGACGCACAATTTGCAACTTATTAGACTTGTTGTCTCACGCCATTAAACCCACGCTAAACATTCATACACCTTTTATATAATTTAAAAACTCTAAAATATAACCTAAGCACTTTATACTATCGATATAGCTTAGATTTCTACAAGTACCTGTTATAACATCTGTTATAGCTCAATTTGTTCTGAACTATTGATCACCGTAAGGTATTACGTGAAGATTGCTAAAAATTATTATTATTTTACTGTTTGTTTCTTAATGAGCCTTACCTTGATTATATAAAGTATTAATCTATTCATATATACTATGTTTATGCTCAGAATACTATATACTATTTAATTTAATTTTTTTATATAGTTATTTTTATTATTAGTTTATAATAGAAATCTTAATAAAACGTAATTAATTAATTGTTTTAACAAAATATAGCATTTTATTAAAAAAATAAAAACGAATAGCTAGAAGCATAAAAAGTACCCTTATCAAACACCTCATGACATCAACGAAAAAACTTGCGTGAAATTTTAACAACAATTCAGAATTTCCAGAAGTGAGAAGGTACCCAGAAAATAAAACAAAAAATCCATTATAATTTGATAAGCCGTCGTGTTACATCCTCAATATGTCGTTCATGCGAAATTAAAATGTCAGCAAAGGAAAGTTAAACATGAAAATTTACATCTCGAAGTGCCATGGTTTAATATTTTTTGATTTGTAGCAGAGATACTTTGAGGCTAATACAATTATAAATTAATTAAAATAAGATTTTTGACAGGTTTAACATCACTAAGAACAGTCCGCATTATAGAGATTGAATTTGTAGTTTCAGGTATTTTTTATTTTGATCATTATTAAGAAATACTAGCGTTTTCTCAATTTCTTCAGGCCTTAGCGTGTTTGCGTATCACGTTATCTGTTAACTGAAGGCTAACCATTTAACAATAAATAATTCAGCCCTTCTTGGCGTCCCACTGCTGGGTATCTCTCGATACAATGGGGGCTGGATGGGCAAGTGGGATGGGCATACCAAGCTTGATGAGTACAGGTTGGCGGACTTCACATGTTTTTTGAAATCTACTTAGTTCTTC